AAGTTTATAAGTTTATTACGGATTGTTGTAAATTTTTAAATTATTGATCACTAAAATAAATTAAACTAAACTATATAAAATGTAATAATTTTATATAAAGTTTTGTTTGATTTTTGAGAACTTTTTGAAATCTTTGTTGATAAATGGTAACATGGTTAAGTTTCGGAAAAATTACATAACAGAACATCAGGGCGAAAGACCACCTCTAATGCTTCGTTTTTAAAGGATTGTCTTTATCAAATTGTTTGATTATTCAATAATGACGTAATTTTGTCCATTTATAAATTTAGTACTGGTTGGGAATTTACTTTTGTTTGACTCATTTCTCGTAATCTTTATTTTCTTTTTTTAGGTTATTTAGGTGCTCCCAGAAATCCTTACGTTCTTATCACGGAGCACCAAAGGAGAGCATTCAACTAGATGTTCACGCCTCCTTCCTTACCAATGTCGCTATAGGGCTAGAGCCGGCATCGAACCTCGGACCTCTGGGTTCTGAGCCAGAACTCTAACCACTGCACAGCTGTTTTCTACCATAATAAAGGATCAATACACCAAAAAATCCGCACCATGGATAAGCATTTAATTGGAAGTTCAGGCCTCCTTCCTAACCGATGTCGCAAAATTTGTCCAGAGGTGGGGTTTGAACTGCTAATTCTTAATATTATAAAGTTCTCTCACCGAAACAGCGCAAAACTGTGAATTCATAGGAATATTATTCCCTATAATACTGTTTAATAAATCAAGAACACGTTAAATGCAGAAAAACAGGTTTTAAGATATTTACCAAAATCTATTTAATATTTGGCTAATATGCTAATATATTATTATGTTCGTTTTGACTAGGATTAAATATCCTTTGTATAAAGCTTCCTTGATTTTTATAATGAATCATATACCTAACTAAAAAAATTCAGTTTTTATATTTAAGGTATTCTTAGCACGGCATAATACAAAACCGACCGAAAAAGTAAACACTTATTGTTATTTTTAGTAGTTGTCAAAAAGTTGATGTTTAAATTACCAATAAATGCAAAACAACACGCTTATTCATTTTCAGGTAGTCATATTATGTACAAATCTTTTCCTTATATGTAATATAAGGAAAAGATTTTAATTTAAGAGTATTCATTTTAGAAAAAATGTATTCAGTAATTGAAGTTTAAAAATCAAAATTTTTTATGTGCTTACGTGGAGGATCCTCCACGTAAGCACATAAAAATTTTTGCAAGCACATAAAAAATTAAGCACATAAATAATTAAGCACATAAAAAATATACACTGTCCTAGGACAGTGTATATTTCATAGAAAATTTGAATAAATGAGTCATACACCTTATTTGGTTCCAACGAACTGTTTGTTTCCAATTTATTAGTGATAATTGATTCTTAATAATGCAAGATTTATATTAGTTAAAAAGCGTTTGACAAAGACGTTTTTTTCGTTAATGTGTTAATAATGGCTTATGCTGCAAAGTGTAAAGTTATGCATTATGGTCATGGAAATATAAATCATTAATATGTAATGAATGATAGTAATACATCTCTTATTATAGCGGCAACGGATATTAAAAGAGACTTGGGTATCTTTATATCTAACGATCTAAATGGAATCAACACATACCGGTTGCAACACGTAGAGCAAATATGATACTTGGCTTACTAAAAAAAACATTTAGATCAAGAGATATGAAGCTTTGGGGTAAACTATATGATACATATGTTAGGCCGCACCTGGAATTTGCTGTTCCAGTATGGTATCCTTACATAAAGGGCGACATTAAAGATATTGAAAAAATTCTGCATAAAGTAACAAAAATTCCTCATGATTTAACAAGTTTACCTTATGTTTAAAGGTGTCGGCGTCTCAATTTTACTTCTTTGGAAACTCGCAGGCGACGCGGCGACTTGATTCAACAGTTTAAACTTGAAAACGGTTTAGAAATTATTAATTCGCATAATCCACCTATTTGCAGATCACCATCCAACGTACTAACGCGAGATTTCACTTACAATAATGCTCGACATAATCTCTTCACAAATCGCATTGTGAATAATTGGAATTATTTATCGTTGTCATGCAAAAAGGCTTTCAAAAGTAGAATTAACAAGCATTTTTTCCCTACAGCTGCAAACAGTGCATCTTTTACTGAATATGAGCTGCACGTTTATTTTAATTAATTCGTGCTTTAGCAGCTACAAATATTGACTTTTTAGGTACATTTGTCATAAGATAAACTGTAAAGGTGAGTTTCCACTCATCCGTTTTTTTCACGGGAACGGGAAAGGGACGGGAAAAATAATAACGTCGGCATGCCTAGTATAAGTTTTAATATGTCTGATGGAAAACTACGCATGCTCACGTGATTATTTTTCTCTTTCCTATCCCGTTCCCGTAAAAAAACGGATGAGTGGAAACTCACCTTAATTAAATAAAAAAAATGCTTTTGTTTTTTAATCTGTTTATTTGATTGTTTTTTTTATTTACTTGTCATGTAATCTATAAAGACTTATTTAAATATATTACTATTATCAAATAGTTATCAATATTGTTAGAGAAAAAAGAAAATGATCAGAAACCTCACTTTTTATTAAGGGAATAGTGAACGTTTTGAAATCAGTAATAAAGCAATAATATATAATCAGTATGTTTATGATATCAGAATGACCTGCATGAGTTTTTAGTTTGTAAGTAAAAATATTTGTAATAAAAATTAAAATAGAAAATTCATAAATTTTTCATCTGGTCACATAACCGTAGCAAAATGACTTATGCGTTTTCTTCAATTTTCTAATAGTTTCAAAACTAATCTAGAGTAACATATTTTTTTTCGCAAAAAATTTAAACCTCAGGGACAATGGACAAAAAATTGGACAAAAGATACGAAGGACAAAAAAATTACACCTAAAAGACCATTCATTAGTAATGCCGAAACTGGGGTACTTTTTTGAAGCGCAAAAAAGAAACATGAAGATAAAATTAAACTTTTAATATCAAAAAAATATTGGTGTTTTAAAATACAAGATATAAAGTTTTGTTTTCACCCATGGTTGAGTTTCTATAAGAAAAAACATCCCGCCAAAAAAAAGCTCTAATTATTTTATTTTCAACACTAATTTGAACTGCAGCACACTTTATTATTTACCTAAAGTTCTTAAACTGTGTGACCTCATTCAGCTACCAAATTTATTTGTTTGGAACCAAAATCATAATAACCTACTTCTTAAATTTATCAACTTTTGTAGTTATAGGGAAATTTGTAACTTAAGTTACCTGTAATTAAATATCGAACTGTTCATTACGGCTATGAATCCATATAAGATAAAAACATGGAACTATCTCTCTTCGTAAATTTCCTAACTTAAATCTCTTAAATTATTTCTTAAAATTTAAAACTTACTTTTATAAAAAATTTTTTATAACTTTTATACTTTACAACTTAACTCGGAGCTTTTATTTATTTAATTCTTTTTCTTTTTTTAATAACACAATATTTAATACCTTTTATAAAATTTACTATTTTATTCTTTTTTAAACTAAAATATTTTAATTAGTATTATCACTATTACTGTTAATATTACTTTATTTTTTTATCATAAATATTATTTATCTTACTGTTGTATTATAGTTATATTTTTGTTTTTTGTTATATTATTATTGTTATTATTACTACTCTTGTTATTATTATTTTAGTAATTACGTTTTTTTATTTTTTTACGTTTTTTACGTTTACGTTTTTACGTTTTTACGTTTTTACGTTTTTACGTTTTTTACGTTTTTTACGTTTTTTATTTTTTTATTTTTTTACGTTTTTTTACGTTTTTTTATTTATTTACGTTTTATTATTACTTATTCTACTATTATTTCTATTTTTATTATAATTGAATTGCTTCACTTGTGTTCATTTTAGTACTTATTAGTATTTGTAAACTTCCTTGATGTAACAACTTTATTAAACATCCTTGATGTAACAACATCATTAAGAATATATTTGACTTAACAACGTATTATTTTACTTTCCGTTAATATTGTTGAATCCGTGATACATACTCTTAGAAATGCAAAATTCTGTCAAATTAGAAGTTTTTATCCTAATGAATATTTTTATATCCTAGATACAATGAACTTTTAACTTTTCGTATCTAGAATTATTTGCTGGTGTAATAACAGTCTGAAAATTAGTTTTCACTCCTTACTAAATAAATATTCAATTGAACAACTGTTTAATATACTTTTAATGGTTTAAAGATTTTTAAATTATAAATTTTTTTTATTTTACTCATTTTTTTTAGAGTCTGGAAATTTTATTTGTAGTTCGACAATTTCTTTTTTTTTACTTCCCTGTTACTATTAAAGAACTGACCTGTTCAGCTGTTGCACAAAATTAGAACTAAACACTGAAGTAAATAGTACCATAATTATAAATTTTAAGCAATTTGTAAGTTTTTTAAAAGATTTTTTTTATACTATACATTAATTTACTAGCATTTTTGTTTAAAGGGTGAATGTCCTATAAGGTGGTTTTCTATATTTTTAAGCATTCAATTAAAACACATTTTAGTTCTTCAAAAGGTCAAAATAGGGTACACAAGCGTGCCTCTGATTGATGATTGAAGCGTATGTAGAGGCATGTTAAGCTTTAACAAGCGCGGCGACGGGTCGAATAAAGATCCAAACATTGTCCAAATTATAATTTAAACTCGTCAAGCTCTTTAGCAGTATTGTAAATACTTGTCTCTCTAAACCAAAAAATTAAGAAAGTATGCATCACGAGATACAGACATAGCATCATGAGATATCGAGAAAGACATGTTGAAATTAGTTTTTTTTTTTTGTTGATTTTTTAATTACGCGAGGCAACGTGGGTTTAACAATGAAAATGGTGTGCTTCAATGTACGCAGGTATCCGATACATAAATAAAATAATCATAAATATTTCAACATAAAAAAAAATCAGCAAAAAAAAAAACCCGGTCTCAAGAATTATCAATAAATACAATCATTTTGAACATTTTAAACTTTTGTACTCTTAAGGTTAAATTTATAATACATACAACAAAGAGTTGCAACTTGATTGGTCTGTGTTGGAGTTGGTCTTGACATCAAATTGAAAAATAATTACTTTTTTTTTAATGCATTGTTTATTCAACCTGACGTCCTAAACTTCCAAAAAAACTTTGGAAGTTCAAGAATTAACGCAAATATTTGATTGGTACTTTGTTTCATCAGACGTCCGGCCACTATTTAAAACCAAAATAACAAGCAACATGGCAAAAAGTTTTACATACGGTAATTTTAAAGGAGATTTTTTCCACATCAGATTCCGTCTTCACTAAGCAAACTTTATTTTGGTTTGGTTCCAAAAAAACTATTCATGGTTTTCATACCTTTTTTATCGATTTTTTGAAGTTGTTTTTGTTTCGCACTCATTTTCACAGCAACTTTCTAAAACAAAAACAAATACAGAATTCTCAGAACAACTTTCGACAGGCGTTTATTTTCTGAATTTGAACTAATATTACGCTAAGGACATAATCTTTTTTTTGGGTTAGGATGTGATCTTTTTAGATAAGATTATATCCTTCAGTTTTTACTCCGAAAACATCGAACGCCTAAAAAAATTAAAAATTTGATGAAAACTTTCAAATGTTACAGCACTTTTAATTTTTAACTTTTCCTTTTTCGAAAAAATGTTCTCAATAATTTAAAAAAACTTAATTACGAACTGAACTTTGAATTCAAAAGAAATTTCATTTAAAGCTGAGTTGAGTATTTAAATAAAATTTTTAGATACTAAAAGTCCTTTTTTTGGGAATAGGTTGAGGGGTGGGTGTGTTAGGGAAGGGGGGAAATTTTATTTTCTACATATAAATTTAGTTAAACTCATATGAATAATACGAATTTAAATACTTAAAATAGCTTTAAAAATTTTGTCTTTTATAAATTTTCGACTTTAACTCAACTTTTTATTTTGATTTTAAGATAAAGATTTTGACGTTTTTTGAAAATAAAATCAGTTTTTATAGTATAGAAATAAAGTGAAATCAAACTTTAAAACTTCAGCCTGTCATAGCAGCTGGGAAAATAAATTTAGTATTATTATATGTACTTTTTTTTTGACTTCACTGTGTTGTTACCTTTACCTTGAAGATGAAGGTAACAACACAAGAGATAAAAAAGGCAAAGAGTTAATGATGATAGACTTGCTTCAAAACAGTTATTCCATGTGTCTTTATTATCCACAAGTCACTTATTAAGGAGCTAGTGGGAGCTATGGCACATTTGTTTGTAAATAAATGTTATCCTGAAAAAACCTCCAATTGTTAAAATATTCTTTTTTAAATTGCAAAAAGACATAAAACTGCTCACGTCTCAGCTCATGATTAAAAAATACAAGAGGTCATCTTTTTAAACCATCTTTTTAAACCATCTTTTTAAACCATCTTTTTAAACCTCCTTTTAGAAAGGAGGTCTAAACCATCTTTTTAAACCATCTCTTTAAACCATCTTTTTAAACCATCTTTTTAAACCATCTCTTTAAACCATCTTTTTAAACCATCTTTTTAAACCATCTTTTTAAACCTAGCTTCTGTTTTATAAAATTAAAAATTATGTTAGGATTGTTTTTTAACTTTGAAATATTTTAGTTTTAAATTTGTTGTTCAAGTAAATTATAAAACTATTCTTTTCCCCTGTTATCACGCTGTCTTAATTGGGAATTACAGAAAGTGTAAAAAAGGGTTCTACTTACCTACTTTGGAAAACCCAGTTTAAGGAGTTCTAATACTCCAAATATAGGTCGAAGTTCTAGAACTCCGAATTTAGGTCGGGGTTCTAATCCCTAGATTTTTTTTCATGACCACTCGATATTTTAATTATTTCTTGATCTTAAGAACAATTTTGAATCTACAGATAAACAAAATTAGATATTAAAAACAAAAGTTATAAAGTATAAGTAACAACTTATGTTATATTTAAATATTTAACAGTTGAGCATTAACATTTAGTTGAATATTTAATAGTTGAATATAAACATTTTTTTGTTTTTAAAAATATTTAAATATCTAAATATAATATAACTTGTAAAAAATAAGTAAAAAAAATATATAACTTCAAAAAAATCTACCTTATCAGGTTTTACTGAACTATCACGATAATCTTCAGAACATTTTGGAGCACCATTTAACTTTTGACGCTAAACAAAAAAGATTTCAAACTGTCAGACATATAACTTTAAATAAACAACAAATCAAAGTGTCAAAATAAAGCCAATTCGTTTTTACCTATAACAAATTTCTAGAAAAATAATTACTAGGTATTAAAAAATGAGCATCATTATTTATATGATTTAATTTTATAATTTTTTGCTTACTAAATTCATTTATACATATACACACACATACATTTATATATGTTGATATATATATATATATATATATATATATATATATATATATATATATATATATATATATATATATATATATATATATATATATATATATATATATATATATATATATATATATATATATATATATATATATATATATATATATATATATATATATATATATATATATATATATATATTTGCGTACCCAGCCTTAAAATGACATCACACTGAAATAAGGCTTCAGTACATACATCAACTAAAGGTTTGGACAGGTATTATCTAGATATTAAGGATTTAAAAACAAAATTTATTAATTATTTACTTAAATAATAAAAATAAATTTATTAGGACAACCTAAAAATGTAAAAGTAATATAGCATGTAAAATTTATATAGCAAATAAAAGTAATAAAGCATGAAAGAAAATAAGAAAACAGTAAAATATACTTTCAAATTAGAACCATGTCAGATTTATATGACAAGATTATAATTTGTTTATAGTTAGATGAGTATCTGTTATCAAACAAAAGTTCAACAAAAAAGAATTGTTATTATCATCGTTCTCTGATTCTTGCTGTTACATTCTCTATATTTCTTGCTGTTACATTCTCTATATTTCTTGCTGTTACATTCTCTATATTTCTAACAAAGATGTTTTTTAACTTTATGATATCAAAAATAAAATCTTAAAAAGCACATTTAAAATATATAAAAAAACATATAAAAAATATAAAAAAACACATATAAAAAAACAAAACAAGAGAGTGTACTTTAGTGAGTAAATAGCTAATATATAACTAAAATATTAACTAACATAGAGAAGCTCACTATAGAGTTATTTTGTTTATATCAAAAACTCTATAGTGAATTTTTAATCTAAAAAAAAATAACTATAGTGGAATTATAATAGGATTATTAACACACACCAACATCTAGCTGACATATATAGATGATACCATGTTAACACATCAACAAGTATCAAATAAATAAAAAAAAGTTCCAAATGACAATAATTCTTAATATTGGAAGAATAATATTTTAAGAATATTTTTATTGACTTATGAAGCTGTATGAAAATATTTAGAAATATTAAAAAAGTTTATTAAAAATATTTGCCAAGTTTTCATTTGACGATACATATTCTAAAGTTATTCATTATGTAGATACTTCCTAATAAAATAATATTGTAAATCAATATGTTTTGATTAAAATTGATTAAAAATGTTTCACTGGATTTTTTGCTAAAACAATTTCACAGATATTTAAGTTATTATAAGTGATGCTGAATGATATTAGCATCATAAAATACATTTAAATTTTCCTGCACTTTTCAAAATGATAAGAAATAATCTATAAGTATCTTTTATATATTGAAAAACATGTTGAAGCATTACCTAATTTGGTTTCATGTTTGTGATAACAAAACTAAGGTCAGAATAACAGTACACTAACAAAACCACTTCACCATAAATTTTATATGAAATTTTTTATTTATATTGTGGCTCTACACCATATGACTTAAGATTTGCTTCACATAGTGTTATTCTAAGTTTGTAATCTCCCATATTGCTGTAACACATTAACTATGTAAAATTTTTGGTCATAATGATTATGTTGGGGCACACAACAAAAAAAGAGATTTAAAGTCAGAGTTTCCCAAATATTTTTCTGTAAATTTTTATGAGCGAATCTTAAGGATATTGTACCTAAAAATCAAAAACATTTCTTGAAAAAAAATGATTTTAAACTTTTGGAAAATCTTTTATGAAAGGGAAGGGAGTTAGAGTTGCAAAGTAAAGGTTTTCCTTATAAAAAGTGATGAGTGAAAAAGCTTAAAAAACAAATATATTACAAAAATATAAACCTCAACTTGTATGTATTGAAAATGTTTTGGATATCCGGAAAAACTAAAAGTTAAAAAAAATATCAGGAATTCCGGAAATATCCGGAAAAAAGATAATCCCTGAATGATGCAAATCATAATATTTGTTTGGTTACTGTTAATAATAAACACAAATTACTGTATTAGAAAATGCCTAATATATTATTTAATAAAGCAGTAAAAAGCCAAGAAAAACAAAACCATTTATTGAACCAGAAAATTATTTGTTGCTGTTGTTTGAAGAAATGCTTGAAATGTATTTAAGTCACAAAACTATTAGAGGCTTACATAAAAATGTAAAACTTGAAAAATTTTATGATTAACTAATGCAATTTTTAAATAAAAACCACTTTCTAAAAATATTCAATATTTAAAAATAAACTTACTTTATGTAGCCATGTGTCATGCAAAAAGCGCATGCAATATTTAAAAATAAACTTACTGAAAGTAAAGACATACCAAATATAGTTAAAACTCAATAGCAATTTACTAAATTATCTAGATGTGTAGATGCTCTAGGAATTGAGAAACATGCAGTTTGTTTAAAAGCTAGATCCACATTTTTACATACAAAAAATACAAGGAAATCAGTAAGCTCCATCAGGGTTATTCCATTAGGATGCGTAATGCTTGCTTGTGTGCAATTGGGAGAACTCAACATCAATTTACTAAAATAAATGCAAGTACAAAACTTTCTGCTAAGCTATTTAATGCTTCTGAAAAAATTCTAAAAAAAGTCACTTCAAATGTTTTAAGATTGATTTATAAGAAAAAGTAACTTGAACATTTGAATCCAGACATATCTAAATACTGGTAATTTATTAGATTTATCAGTGTTTTCCAATTGATTAAAATTTATAATTCAGGAAGGTTGCCATTACCTATAACTATTGGTGTTCCTCTAATAACTATTAGTAAACTTTGAAACTTTATTGATTATTCAACTTAGACTAAGTTAATTCAAATCACACATCCTTTTGAAATCCTTAAGGAAAAATGGAATTCAATTTGAGGAAAATCATGAAAAAAACTTTACAAAGAAAATAAAACTTTTAACTGATTTTTATAATGCACAGATAGTTATTGCAAAAGAAATTAAAAAAAAATTGTCAACTTTGGTATGACTTACAGCTGAGAGTCTGTATGAACAAAAATCAATACTGGTCCGATATTGGCAGCTGAGCTTAGTCTGACATCAGCTTTGACAGAGAGAAAGCAAAGTCTAGACATTTATATAAATTGGAATTGTTTCAGGTAAAACACACAGAAATTGAGCCATTTTATTAGATCTTGTAAAGCTAGAAGATTGTATACATAGTCTTGCAGCTGATTTGAAATCATATCTTTTTACAACATCAAAACATACCATTTACCATACCACACCATACCACCTATCAACTTATGATTAACGAGTCAAACTAGTTCTTTGACAGTATTTTTGTTTTTGCTAACAGTTGTATTTTATAACTTGAATAATAAATTAAGTGAGTATGAGAAATGAGAGGAAAAAAAAGTATTTTAAAATGTCTTTTTTAAAGTCGTTTTACTCTCTTTAGAGTAAAAAAATTCTCCACTTAAAAATTGTTTTGAAAAATAAAATAAAATTTTCAAAAACCTTTTTTTTCAAAAATGGCCATCTTTTAATTATTAAGTTTCTAGATACAGTATCCTGGAGAGTCACTTATGATACAGTATTCGCTTATGAAAGTTCCAAATTTTGGAAAACTCTAACCTAAAACTTAAATCCTCTTTTTTGATGTCTGGAAAGCTTGAGCAAAACTTATACAAAAGAAACTCAATATCTTTCCTGAACCTTTTATCTTCAATTTTAATTATTTCATGGTTTTTATAGAACTTTTTTTTTTTTTTTTAAACATTTTTGCTTCCAACTGCAAGCAACCTTGTTGAAAGTGAATTTTTTTTTTTTTAAACATCTTTGCTTCCAACAAGGCTGCAAGCAACCACTAATTAGTGTTGGAAGTTACTGGAAGAGAAAAGATAAAGATTGTAGAGCAAGATAACGATTGACAGACGACTTAAAAGATTGCAAATTATATGAATCAGGAAAGCAAAATGAAGGAAGCGAATTCCAAAGAACTGATGTTCCAGGAAAAAAACTAGACAAATAAGAGTTTTTGGAGCACTTAGGAACAGTCACAGAAAAAGTAGGAGACTTAATTGAAAGACGAGTGACACAAGAATGAATTTTAGTCGATGGCACAAGAGACGATAGCTCTTTGAGCAGTGCCCATTATAGTCCATGTTTACAATGCGTTTTTGTACCTTGTCTAAAAGAGAAAGGGCATCATTAGAAGATACGCCCAGATATGGCAACAGTATTCCATACAAGGTCGGATTTGAGATTTATAGAGATAGAGAATAGAATCCAGAGTAAGAAAGTTTTAAGCTCGATAAAGAGATGCAACTTTAGCAGATGCTAATTTTGCAACGGATTTGATATAAGGCTTCCAAGAAAGATCAGAAGTGAGAGTTAATCCTAGAAGATGAAGGGTAGATGACTCATCGAGTACATTACCATTCATAAATATAGGAAGGTCTAAATTATTGCGATAACGATTGGCTGAAAAAATTGAGTTTTATCTGAATTAAAGTTCACCAGCCACTATGAGCTCCATGCATTAGCAGAAGTGAGATCCTTTTCAAACTCAAATGTGCCCTCCAAGCAATCAGAGGAAGTTGGCTTCTTATCATGACAAGAATATATGGTAGTATCATCAGCGAACAATGCCACCTTAGATGTGAGAATATCTGGAAGATTGTTAATATAAATTGAAAAGAGTTTAGGGCCAAGGATTAAACCTTGAGGAACCCCTGAGGTTACAGAATAAGAAGAAGAGTGCTGTCCACCAAAGACAACTTTTATACTACAATTGGAAAGGAAGGATTCAATAATCTTAAAGATGTTTCCAGATACATCGTAAAAAGAAAGCTTATGGAGAAGACCAGCATACCAAACTTTATCAAATGCTTTAGAAATGTCAAGAGCGATGGGATTAACCTTTTATCAGGCTGGCTTTTGATTCAGGCTGGCATGGAATCTTTTATTCCCTCTTGACGATTCTGGGTCAAGCCTCACTCTTCGATCTTCTCGTTCTACAGCTGATTTTCAAACAGTAATAACCGATAGGTTTTATCATGCATTAGATAAAGGTGGAGAACCTTTATCTAATGCATGATAAACCCTATCGGTTATTACTGTTTGAAAATCAGCTGTAGAACGAGAAGATCGAAGAGTGAGGCTTGACCCGGAATCGTCAAGAGGGAATAAAAGATTCCATGCATTAGATAAAGGTGGAGAACCTTTTAGGGATTGAGAAAGGCAAAAGTTGTGGGCTTTAATGCCTGCAGAGTCACTGACACTAAAGCCAAGCCATTCAGCATGATGAACATTAAAATTACCGACAACAACAATATAGGCTGATGAATAAAGAGAGAGGGATTGGTCAATATGATCAGAAATAACATCAAGAAGAGTGCAGTCTTGAGATGAAGGAGAGCGATATAGAACAAAGAGAAAGGTGATATAGTGAAGTGGTGCTAAACGAAAGCACATAAAAGAGTAGTCTGTGGATTCAAACCTAGTTTCCTGCCACTTGCGGTTGCAATCATTATGCCATCAAACCGATTAAATTTTTTGAAACAATTTGTTATTTATTGTCATAGTAACATATAAACACATAAGTCAGATTGAGTAAAACAGTTTAAAAGCGAAGTTAAAAAAGATTTTTCCTTTTTTTTTCTTTATTTGTTTTATATTTTGTTGTTTAAATAATGTTATGATAACAAAATAAATAAATATTTACATGAAAGGGGACATGAAAGACTTATCACTTATCACTAAGGCTTGTAGTTTAAACCTTATTTTTACATTTATAAAATACCTTTTTTTAATACCATTTTCAGAACTTTTTTAAATTTTTAGTAAATTTTTAATTTTTAGTAAATTTTGTTAATTTGTATTTATTAAATTTTTTGTTTAAATTTTTGGAACATTGAACAGTTTCTGATTGCAAAAAAAAAAATTATTCTTTTGTATTTATATAAGGTTCAAACACATTTGACAATCCTTTTAAAACTATTACTACTAAAAGAACATTACTGACAACCTCAGATGTTGCAATTATAAAGTCATTAATTGACTTTAACATGCTAACGTACAAAACTTTTATTATAAAATTTTATTAAAAAAACTATGCCAAAACTATGTAAAGTATGTAAACCATGTAAATTTCCACTTATTTTTTAAATCTTTTTTCTTTTTTCCTTCCAAAAATTTTTTTTTCTTTCTTTTTGCCATTATGATGATTAAAATTGCAAAAAAAAAAACAAACAATTTTTCAGTTGTCGTCATCCATTTTTTTTCCCCATGTAAAAATAAAAAAACAATTATTTTCCCCAGACTAATAAAAACAAGAGGTTTTGTAAGTTCTTTGATCAATATTTTATAACCAAATTAATGACAAATAAAAATGGACAGTTCAAGTCAAAGGTTACATTGAAACTTTGAACCTATATAAATATATTAATTTTTCTAAGCGCTGCACTAGAGAAGAAAAGTAAGGTTTAGAAATACTTTGTGTTACTTTAGTCCATTAGCAGGATAATGGGTCTGATTAAAAATATTGAGGAAAATATTTTTTTTAACGACTTTACCAAGGTTTACATATGATCATATTTTATAGGCAATCCCTAATTAAGAAAAATTTTCTCAAATAATGTTTTTCTTCTAAAATATAACTTTTTAATTCATAAAAGGGAAAAGAGAGGGGAGAGGGTTATTTCAAAAGGGTACTTTTTAGGGAAGAAAAAAAAAAGATGAGAAATATATATATATATATATATATATATATATATATATATATATATATATATATATATATATATATATATATATATATATATATATATATACACATAGTATTGTAATTACAACACTATACACACACACATATATATATATATATATGCACACATCAATATAAAAAGCCATATTTATGCAAGTATTTATATATTATTAATAACATAATTTACCTTTGAAGGAGGTTCGGATTCATCACAAAATATTTGATCTTTAATACTAAAAAAAAATTTTTTTTCTTCTGTATAGCAAGCAAGAACTAGAGTAAAAGCGGGTCAAACCAATCATAATATTTTTTCAATCACTGATCGAAAAATTTAAATAAAACCAGATCTGATAGAAATATTTAAAAAATAAAAACACCAGAAGAAAGAGAATCATCTCCTCTATTCAAATGTGTCAAAATAAAATCCAAGTCATTTTTGAGTCATTTTATTTTTATAAAAGTTTAAAAGAGAGTCGAAAAAATTTTTCTTTTTTCTTTTATTTGCTATCGTAATAATTCGGAAACCATAATTCGTTTAAAAATAATTTTACCTCTATCTTGTAGAAATTTAATTTCAATACCGATTACATATATTTTTTTTCGTTTTATAGTTAAAAATTAGACAAAAAAAGTAAGAAAAATTAATATTAAATTTTTTCTGGTAAAACCGATCATTCACATATTTACTTTAAATTCCTTTATAAAGTAGTAAATTTTTAAATTAGGTACCTTATGTGTAATTTTCTTATGTGTTAGTTTCAGGTTCTTCCTATATAAAGTTATTTTACAAAAATGACTCAATGATATTTATTAATTATTCACTTTTAAGATGACAACAAGTAAAAAGTCATACAATGAAGAAGATATAGCTGCGTTAAATAATATAAAAGAAAAAAATACTTCAATCAGAAAAGCTGCATTCAAATATGGTATTCCATTCTCAACTCTTATAGGTAGCAAGAACAACAACAATGCTAGCATTAAGGGATCAGGATCAACAACTGTACTCTCACAACAAACAGAGTCAATTATAGATGGTCTAAAGAAATTTTCACAAGAAAAACTCACACTTAAGCATCTGCCAGAGCCGCTTTTTGTACACAAGAAATAATTAATAATTATTTTGAAGTTGTCACTAAACAATATCAATCGCCTGGGATAACTTCTGGTTGTCACATTTGGAATTACGATGAAACAGGTTTCTGTGGTGATCAAGGCAAAGCAACTGTAGTATGTCAAAAAGGTGCAAAGCATGTTTTGAAACTCACTGGTAACAATAAAAAAATCCATTATACAGTGAACAATTGCTGTAATTCTGATGGATACTTTACACCACCATTCTTGGTATACAAAGCAAAATAAAACTTTAGAGCTAAGTAGACTTTAGGTGGTCCGACTGGCACCAAATATTCAACTTCTAAATCTGGTTGGATGGAGCATGACACATTTATTGAATGGTTGAAGGAAGTGTATATACCAGAATGTCAAGGTATTAGTGGTACTCATATTTTACATCTTGATGGAAATACATCTCACGTCAGTTTAGCAGCTGTATTGCTATGTCGGGAAAACAATATAATTTTAATTTGTCTGCCAACCCACTCATCTCAGATTCTTCAGCCACTGGACAGAGGTGTCTATTGCCATTTTAAGCAAGTGTGGAAGGCAGTTCTTACCAAATATTAAAGACACAAAATACAAAAACTTAGATAAAGAAAATTTTCCGACGTTGCTCTAACAGGTGTATGAGAGCGGTAAGTGTTTTACATGTTTGCACGCTATTGCTGGTTTTGAATATTCTGGGTTATTTCCACTTAACAAAAACAAAATCAATCAACAGGCATTAGCTGACATCTGACAAATGATTGTAGATTTGTAAAAAGTATAGAATATATATATATATATATATATATATATATATATATATATATATATATATATATATATATATATATCAGGGCCTATTCTAGGAAAAAAAAGGACAGTACCCCCTCGTTTTGGCGGAATTTAGCGTAAATTCAGCATTTTTTTTTTTGCAAAAAAAAAAATATTTGCCATAAAAACCTAAAAAAAAAAAGGTGCTCAAATTTTAATTTGGGCGGCATCCAAATACGCTGTCAAAAACGGTATACATTTCCAAACTATGTTGAAGTAAAAAAAAAATTTAATTCAAGTTACTTTAAAATGTTCGTATTACATATAACTTTATTTTAATTTCAGTTATTTTTAACAAAATTTTTTTCTTTATCATTAATTTTAGAATTGATTATAGACTGAATTTAAAATGATTAACTAGTTTATGAGTATGCAAAGTATGAGTTAGTGAGTATGAGTATACGAAGGTTTTATTAAAGCCAAAATGTTAAAAAAAAGGTTGATAAGTTTTTATTTATTTATTTGACTGTTATGTAAGCAGGGCTGTGCCTGACTGGCGTTGATTGCGTGTACCATACGCAGACGGCCAAAAAACTATAAGAATACATCACATATACTCCTAATTCAGAGCCGTAAAATGTAAAAATTTAGTGTGAAACTGTGAAATAATAATTATTTTAAATTTTGTTGTATTTTTCTTCATATACAGGAATATTTTTATTTTTTTAAAAATTTATATTATTTTAAATTTTGTTGTATTTTTTCTTCATATACAGGAATATTTTTTTATGCATTATGTATAATATCAGTATCACCACTTTCTTGCTGATATTAATTTTTTCCTTTATGTTAATTAAACTGTGGAGGTTTTTCGAATTTTAGATGTTCGAATTATAAAAAGTTAAACTTAAGAGTTTCTTAAGCACATTTCACAGTGACGTTTGCATTTAATCGAATTATAAAGGTTTTCGAATTATAGAGATTCGAATTAGAGTGATTGTACTGTAATATTATTTTTAAACATTTTAGTCAAAACCCTTAAAATTTCTGAAAGAAAAAAGAAACGATTGTCCGGAGCACAATATAAAAGAAAGCAAGAAGAAAAGCAAAATGAAGCTAAAAAAATCATTCGTTCACTAACAACTAATATTTGGAAAATGCAAAACCATCAGAGACGGAAAATACTTGTAGTAGCCAAACAAATTTAAGTAGTGAAATTTCTTCTGATATTTAGCTGATTATTAGCAGAAAATACAAATGACAATATTATTAGAAGCAATAAAATAGGAGATAGTTACAAATATCGACAATATCATGGGAAATGCTTGCATTAGCCTAGCAAATCCAAGTAGTGATTTTTTTTTTGAAATTACAAATGCTAGTGACAATATTGCAGTTGCAAATATCAACAATACCACTAAAATTGATGAAGTATATTCTGCTATGTGTCTGGAACTAAATGCTTGCTGGCCTTTAACGCTTACCAATAAAATGGTGGATATTTTAATTGAAAAAAAGTCCTATTCAAAATATACAATCTACATATCCAAAAAATAAATTGGGAAGATCTTTTTCAAAGGTTTATTTCTATAGAAAAATGCCAAATGATGAAAAATTTAAACGTGAGTGGTTAATCTATTCTCCGAAAAATAATGCCATATTTTGTTTCTGTTGTAAATTATTTGGCAAACAAGAAATAAAATTAGTTAATGATATCAACGATTGCCAACACACATCTGAAAACTTATCTTGTAACAAAAAAACATCGATGTACATCAAAAACTGCACTCGTTAGAAGAATTGGAATTAAATTTAAAAAGAAAAACTACAATTGATAATAATATGTAACAGTATTATGATACCGAGTAAACGATGGTGTCAAATCGTCACATATCTGTGGTACAATTTCCAGCAGCTGTTTAGCTTTTAGAGGTTTTTCCAGCAAATTGTACAAAAAAAATAATGAAAATTTTTTAAAAGCAATTGAAATGATAAGAAAATTTGATGATATAATGGCAGACCTCATAAAACACTTACAAAAATCAATTGCTTTAAAGAGCCACATGACACATTACCTGGGAAATCGCTTTCAAAATGAAATAATAACTATCTTTTATACTATATTTTATATTTTATTAACATCAATAAAACAAGCAAAATATTTTTCATTCATTTTAAACTAAACGACTGAACTGATGCTGGACATGTCATGAAGAATTGATGCTGGACATGTCATGATAAAATGATGCTGGACATGTCATGATGAACTGATGTTGGACATGTCATGATGAACTGATGCTGGACATGTCATGATGAACTGATGTTGGACAAGTCATGATGGACTGATGCTGGACATGTCATGATGAACTGATGCTGGAGATGTCGAACAAATTAAAACGATTTTCAGATATGTACATACTAAAAATAATAAAATTGAAGTAAGAGAAAATTTCATTTGTTTTTATCTTAAATTAAATAATAACTACATGAGGGGCCAGGGATACAACAATGGGTCTAATATGTCTGGGAAACATATTGGATTGCTAAAACAAATTTTGGACAATTATCCACTAGCTTTGTTTATGCCATGCAACGCACATACATTAAATTTGGCGATTAATGATGCAACTAAAGTTCAGTTTCCAACAGTGGGTTTTTTTAGTACTGTATCAGCAATATGTAATTTCTTCACTGGTTCACCATTTAGATGGCAAGTTTTAAAGAAAAATATAAAATCTTTAACATTGAAACAGGTTAGTGAAACTCGGTGGGAAGCAAGAATTAAAGCGATTAGACCACTGTGACATGATTTAGGTGAAATTTATGATAGCCTTATAGAAATAGCTGAAGAATCTTCAATGCCAACAATTCGACATGAGGCTAAATGTTTGGCAATGAAAATTAAATCTTATAAATTATTTGAAATAAAATGAAATTAATTAAAAATTACCTGAGGACATCCATGCCATAAGAACGTTTCAATTAATGCAAAAGTAAGTGACATTTTATGGAAGCAAATTGACATTTTATGGAAGCAAATTGAACAATTTGCTTCCATAAAATCGAATCAGGTTAATTTCATTTTAATATGTAAGTGTTAATGTTATATTTTGTAAATGTAAATTATTAAATTAAATTTTGATTATTTTCTTTGATATTTTTTACCTTGGAGGACGGCCATACATACTAGCACACAGCCGACCAAATGTCCAGGCACGGGCATTTGGCCGGCTCCTTATGAAGCCTCGGCAATTTTTTTTGTTAATGTTTTGTTTTTTAATGTTATTTCTTTTAATGATATTTTGTTATATAATTTTAATGATAGTAAAGCAAGTGTCAATTCAACACTTTGACAACCTTTTCTTTTTTTAACTGTATTCATTTAATTTAGATTACAACATTTGTATCCTTTACATTAGCTTATTATCAATATTTTTGATAATAAGCTAATTGTCTTAGTGATTCCAAAATGAAAAAACTATAATTGTTAAGATTTTGCCCAACTACTTGCTTTATAACCAACCTGTCTAACTATTTGGTTATAACCAATTTGTCAAATTATTTGCTTATAACCGACCTGTCTAATTACCTATAATAGATTTTTAAATAATAGCAAACTAATGAGTTCAACCTTTCTTTTTTTCTTTAAAATTTTTAACTGTGTTATAGTCTTTTCTCTTTTTTCTAGTGTTGTCAATGTTTTCTACTCCTTTAAAATTTTTAACTAATTTTAAATTTAATTTTAATTTCATATTAACTTAATTTAACTTTTTATATTTAATTTTATGTTATGTTACTTGGTGCATATAATAGAGGTTATTAGATAAACATTTGGCAAAACTTTCAAAAAAAAATTGGTTAATGTCTAGAGGCGGCTCTATAATAAGTTTCATTTTTTAACAAATTTTTTTACCATAAAAATTTCTACTATAGATTTAATGCTTTAAAGGAAGTTTAATTTTAAGCATAATTGACCACAGTTGTTTTGTGATTAAACAGTTCCAACTGCAAAATAAATGTATATATGTATATAAAATTTATAAAATTATATAAAAAAAAAAAAAAAAAAAAATCAGATGTGAATTAAATTATATTAAATTCAAGAATACTGGTTTAATTGAAGGTTGAATATATTTGTCAAATTGTTGTAATGATTATTTTAGTAGTTGTGTTATTGATTATTACTACTTATCTATGATATAATGACAATACTGTTATTAAGTTGTTCAAAATTTTTAGGTTATTCTAAAATTTGTTATTAACACTTTATTTTTCCTTTTTTTTTATCTTATATCATTTTCAAGGAGTTTGGAGTTGAAATTAGCGTATGCTTATATTCTAGTAAAATAATTACTAATAATGTAGTAATGAACCTTGAATATATTAAAACAAGCCATGAACCAATCAGTAAATTGTTATTTTAAAATAATTTTAACTTTATTCAAAATTCTACCTTAAAATCAATTTTAAAATACAAATTTAAGCTGTCATGTTGACATGTTGCAAGATGCTGCTTGTGACATGTTGCAAGCTGCTGCTTGTGACATGTTGCGAAAAGCAACTTGTCACAAGCTGTCTTATAATAGAACTTGTAACATGTCTTGTAATAGAACTTATAAAAGGTTAAGACAAATTTTATTATTTAAAAACATTTAAAATCAAATTTATAAAACAAAGTATAATATTTAAAGATACAATTCAATATGTTTTAAAAATACTTGAGCATTTGTTTTACATCATCTAACCATGAAGAAGCAACGTAATCGAAAACAATCAAACTAGAAAACCTGATGCAATCATCTAAATTTAATGTTAAAAAAATTATTATAACTTTTTTAATTTTTTAACTCTTTCAAACTTTTTAAACTATAAAATATAGCCCCAATATTAAATTATAGTTGGAGTAAAATATTTCAATTTAAACTATTAAAAACTTTAAACGAACTGTTAAAAACATTAAAAACTTGAACATAAACTTGAATATTAGAAAACTTTAAATTTGAATTATTTTAAAAAAAGTAATTAAAAAAATTTTTTTTTGTTTCTTCTTGAGAGTGATTTTTTAAAAATGTTACACCAACCATTGAGGTTACATTTTAGCTGAAACACATAAAATAACACTTTTCCTGATTTATACAGAATAACACTTTTCTTGATTTATATAGGATAATGCTTTTCTTGATTTATACAGGATAATACTTCTTTTGATTTATAAAGACCAATTTAGATTTTATGCCTTGTTAATATCTACTCATCTATAAATGCCAAAACCAACTCAACTTTCCCTAACAAAACATAACTTGCTACACAATCTACACACTATACAACATAACTCACACACATTCTAAACTTATAACATGTAAATTTTCACATTCTAAACTTATAACATGTAAATTTTCACATTCTAAACCTATAGCATGTAAATTTTCACATTCTAAACTTATAACATATAAATCTTTTCTTATACAGCAACTTACACTGCCACAATACATTACACAAATGTATTAAGAAGTTAATAAATTTCTTTGATTAGTAAATTTTTGTAGTGATAACATTTGCTTAAACTTTAATTTGCTTGTTTTTTTTTCCTACGTCTTGTTCTTGGTCTATCATTCCTTGCCTGAAACAATTAGATTCTCTATATTAATAACATTACTAAAAATTTTTTTCTCTTTTCAATTTTCATCATAACTATCCACTCCTTTCCTCTGAACATTTCTATTGTCATGCTTTCAAAATACTGTTAGGCAGATGTTAACAACATTTAGCTTCTGTCTTGTAGAAGACTTCCTAGGCAAAATCTTTTGGGGATTTCTTTTGTGTTGGTCTTTAAACAAAACTTTTTTTATCTTTCTGCTAAAAACTGAGCCTTCAATATATATATATATATATATATATATATATATATATATATATATATATATATATATATATATATATATATATATATATATATATATATATATATATATATATATATATATATATATAATATATATATATATATATATATATATATATATATATATATATATATATATATATATATATTAGTGATAAAAATTTGATTTTACTACTTTTTTATATTTAGATTATTTTATTTTTTATATTTAGATTATTTTATCATACTCCAAATAAAATATACATAAGAATAGAAAATCACAAATAAAATTTTGGGAAAATTTGATTAAAATTTCGGGGGAAAAAAAAAAAAAAATTCAAAAGCATCTATATAGAAGTGTTGAAAATTTCAGGAAATTTTCAAAAAAAAAAAAAAAAGAATTGTAATCCTTTTTATAATTAGATTATTTTATTATTTTTTCTACAAAAATATATAAGAATGGAAAAACACAAGCAAAGTTTTGGGGTGATTTCTATTTTTTTAATTTTAAATAACTGAAAAATAATTTTCTTGCAATTTATTAAAGGAACAATTTATTGAATAATCTTTTAATTATTTAATTATTTATTTTAATTATTATTTAATTATTACAGATATTCTATCATAATAAAATAATAGGTTTTTGAAAATCTTGATGCTTAGCCATTTTTGAGGGTATGTGAAAATCAACACTGTCATCACTTAAATATTCAGTCATATTCATCATCGGTATCATTGAGTGCTAAGAAGATATGGCTTTTATCATCAATCTTTTTCTTTTCTAAACATAAATGTTTTTTCTTTTTAGAATTACATTTAACCAGTCTATTCTGTATTTTCAAATTATAAGCTCTGATGTTCTTGTATCAATTAAATGATTTCACTTTTTAGATTTTTGCAAGAAACCTCTTTGTTGACATGCTTAGCAGATGCAATGCTGCAGCTACAAGAAAATAATATCAACACCACTCAATAATGTTGTAGGTGCATATGTTCTCCACCATATAACTGGTTACACTCCACACTCAGCTTTCAAATATAGCTGCAACTATCCTGGCTAAATATTCCATTATGAGCTTTAAAATTCATTAACTCATCCAATATAACATCAGCAGCTAGTGTTTCATTTTCAGCTTTTCTGAATATATGCTACTCAGCTAAAAGCATTTCTGAATAATTTAACTCTTTACCAGCAAATCTGGGATCAAACAAATTAGCTGCAAAGTGTATTAGTCTAATCAAAAAGTCTTCACGCTTTTTAACGCAAGTAGTAATACTCTCTTTTTCTTGTCAAGTCAGTAGTGTTGAGTTTTGTAACATGTGACATATGAAAGCTGTGACATATGAAAAGAAATTATTAATTAAATTCATTAAATATTCAAATTAAATTCATTAAATATTCAATTTTTATACTTGTAAAAATAGACACTGATGGTGTGTCAAACTCTAATTCCAAAATCTCTTTTGTAATCTCTTTGTGATCTCTGTAAGCTAAATCCTTTTCCAGAATAATTCATTTAACACTAACTCTTTAAGGTTAATTCCTTTTATTTTTATTGTGTTTTTCAATATATTCCTGTAACACTTATCTCCTGATTTTCATTTTTGCAATATATTCCTGTAACACTTATCTCCTGATTTTCATTTCAATTCATTACTCAGCTTTGTTTTAATTTTCACATGCACAATTTTTATCTTTATTATTATTCAGAGAATATTTTTATATCCTTCATTTAATGTTTACATATATGTCGCTTACATTTTTAAGGTTTTTGTGCAACGTTCTTTTTCGCTATCATATATTATTCTATTATTATGATTTTGGGTTTCGCGGGTTACTCATTTTCCTACACTTTTGATTGGTTATCATATTTCGAATGAGGTATCTATGACAGCGTTAGAGTTTATTTAAGGGTATTGTTTTGTTTATTAAAAAAATTTTTTTAATGAGGTATACTGCTTTCTGATTATCTTGGGCTTGTTTATGCGAATAATACCTATATGGTTTTAATTCTTAAAATAAATTGATTAATATTTTTATGTTTTTATTAGAATTTTAATTTATTTTGTTTTCATGTTTTCTTTTGGTGGTACGGTAAGTGTTTTATTTAGTTATTTTTATTTTTATTTTTGTTTTGTTCAGTAAATCTATACTTTTTATCATATCATCAAAAAAAATATTGGTGCTTTACAAATTTGGGGTTGGTTGGGTTTTGGCTATTTGTAATGAGTCCTTTTTTACTGCAGTATGGAATAGGCGTAAGTCGCGGGGTAAAGCATAAGTGGCGATGACGTTTGTCTGACGGGATAAACTAGTTATAAATGCTGATCCTCATCGAAACGCCAGTAATAATAGACGCGACTCTGAGGAGATGTTTATTACTTAATCACTACACTAATTATGTTTACACATTAGCATTAATGTTTTTTTTTTTCCATTATTAGTCCTTTCATTGTTGTTAGCATATTTTTAATTTGTTGAATGGTTTTTTGTTTTACAAATTTTTGACTGGTTATGTATTTCTTGTATATTTTAGTTCATATTGGTATTTATAAAACATTTTTTTATTTTTATTTTTTTTTATTTATATATATATATATATATATATAATTTTTTTTTTTTTTTTTATTATTATTCATTTTTAATTTTTTTAAATTTTTTTTATTGTTATTATTGTTGAGTACTGTTTTAATTGTATAGCCTGTCTTATTTATTTTTAAATATTCCTCTATTAATGTTTATTTTTGTCTTGACAACTGTCAAAATATGCTTTGTCTAATAAATAATTCTCCTTTATTCTAATGTAATTCATTTCTTCCCTCAGGCGTTCACTGCTCGTGTGTGACCATTCGGCGAATTTTATATGCCAAAGTTTTTAAATAAAATAGACACTGATGCTGTATCAAACTCTGATTCCAAAATCTCTTTTGTAATCTCTTTGTGATCTCTGTAAGCTAAATCCTTTTCCAGAATAATTCATTTAACACTAACTCTTTAAGGTTAATTCCTTTTATTTTTATTGTGTTTTTCAATATATTCCTGACACAAAGACGCAAATTGCGCTATAACAATGAGTCACAAAGACGCAAATTGCGCTGTAACATTGAAATCAGTTCTTGTTTGAATTTATTTACTTGGTCATATACTGTGTCTAAAAGATCATGACTAAGAGCATAACATTTGGGAGGTGACTAACCAGGTCGAATTTTTTTAAAGAAATTAATCCAAATCGATTTTCTGACATCCTGCAAGGGTTGGCTGTTGCATAAATTACTTTTGCATATTGTATATTTTATTAAACGCACTCTTGTGCTGACATTTTATCAAAAAAATATGATATAGAGGTTTTTGATTGAGAGGTAAAATAAAGGTTGAACAGCAAATCAAAATGTAAGTCATTAGCAACCACACTCATTGTGGGATTTGTGCCTACCTTTTTTACAAAACTGGTAAGGTTGTCACACCAATTGCTTATTAAACCTGACACACTTTCCCAGCCGGCACAACTCAGAAAAAAGATACGCTTAGTTTCTGTTGCGTTTTTGAAACCTTCTAAAACAATAAGAATAACACGTGTCAAAAATAGTTTTTATTCCATGAAATTAACTATTACTATTTACCATAAATACCAGTTAAAATACTAATGGTTTCACTGTTATGGAAACCTAGTATTATATTAAAATAACATTTAAATTTGACTTCAAAACACGTGTTAAACCTGAGTAAAACTGCCTGTAATATACACAAGTTTTTGGTTTACGCCTGGATCGTGACAAACACGTGTCTATAGAAGTTTTAATTCTGAAAAAGAAACTAGATGTGCCGGTAGGGCTCATTATTACTTGTATTTGTGTCAAGTTCAGATAAAGATTTTACAAGTATTACTCCACTCTTAGTTTTAGGCGCAAAACTGTTTCAAAACATCAGCTACAAATTTTGTTTTTACAAACGTGGGTGATTTAGGACAATCTGTAACTAAATGTTTTTTTGCCCAAGTGGAGTTTTGTGTGAAAAACTTTGCATTGCAGTATGTGCAAACAAGTGCTGTTTTCTTTTAAATGTCCATTCCAGACTTGGTCAAATTCGCAAGGCATATTTTAATTGATACTAAAAACATACATAACTTAAAAAGAAAGTACAATTTAAAAGATACAATTAATCAATTTAGTTTACATAGAATCATTCTATGTAAACTATCTAAGTAACTATCTCTGTAAATTTCTAAGAATGCAAACCTAATCTATAGTTTATATGCTATATTATTATACCAACTTGTTGTTTATAGTAATTATAATTACTATATAATTGTGCATATAAATTATAATACCTATAAATGAACACACACATGCACACACACATAAGTGTCATTGTTATTTTTACCCTTATTATCATGATAATAACCTATTAATAATTATTATTAAACAAGGAAAATAAAACATAAATGATATCATTATAATTATAGTCATAATAGTATCATTTACATTTAGTACTAAACAAAAATGATATAATTATATGTTTTGTTAAGAACCACTAGTAAAAGTATTACTATTGTATAAGTGAATGTTTGGTATTTAAAACCTTTATTTCAAAAATTTATTGATTATATATTAATAATATATTCCTTATTAAAATAAGTAATGGTAAACAACACAAAAATATAAAAATTCAAAAAAAAAACTCCGCGCAATTATTTGAAAATTTCCAAAAATTCCAGGAAATTTTCATCTCTAATATATATATAATCTTCTGGAATCAGGCATCAAAGATTTTTTTTAGTTTTAATTCTATTCCATTCTCTCATTCTTCTATTTCTAAACATTTCTAAATCATTTGTTTTTCACAAAACATTTGAGAACAAACATCTCTCAATCATTTTTTGTCATGCAAAAAATTGATGCAACAACATTTTATCATGCAAGAAATGCATGATAAAATATTGTTGCAATAAGGTATTCAGGGTTCATAGCAATTTTGAAAAATATTTTTCCGTAAGTATTCCCTGATTTTCTCCTGTTTTCAAGTATTTATTCACTGAGTTTAGATAATAAAAAAAAAAAAATTTTCCCTGATAACTTTGAAGTATATAATTTCTTTTACAACCAAAGCTGTGACCAAGTCATTGAGTAACAAGTCACAAGTATTTCTAAAGTCTTTTCACTCAAGTCTAAGTCAAGTCTCAAGTCAAGAAAAGCCAGTTCAATTTAATACTCAAGTGAAGTCTCATAATGTATTTGTAATCAACTAAATCTTATTTCATATTTAAAGCGTATAGAAATACTAATTTTAAAATATGTGAATACATTATATTTAAACTAAATACACATTTTTTTATGATCACATTTGCAAAAGATCAAATATAAAAGGCAGTTAGATAACAAGAAGCCCAACAAGGATGCAGTAAGTTGTTTAAAAAAAAAAGATAAAAAACCAGGCTGCATAAAAAAAAAGTTTTTACATTTCTTCGCTTCTAAACTTTTTGCTTTAATGCCTCACTAATGCAATTGTTGTTTACTAAATTTCTTTTTCTAAACAATTTTAGAGCTTGAATACGAGACTTGTACCTAGACATTATGTCAAGTCACAAGTCATTGATATGAACTTCAAGTCACAAGTCATTGGTTCATGTCACAAGTCATGGACATGAACTTCAAGTCACAAGTCATTGGTTTCAAAGTTAAAGTCGAGTTTGTCAAGTCTTATTTTAATAATAATGTCAAATTATGTCAACTTCTTATAATGCTTAAAATTCAAAATTTGGATGATGCAAAATATTTAAAAGCTTAATATAAATCTAATATTCAGCTTGAAGTTATTTCCAGGTTTTTTTCTGAATACTATGAACCCTGGTACTGTTGAAGCTATTGTATGAAGCCATGGTACTCATCATACACCCTGGTATTGTTGAAGCTATTGTATGGTATAGCCTGGTATGAAGCAAAGAGCCATTATTCTCAGATTACCAAAACTCATATTGTATCTCAGAAAAAAAAGTTCTAGAAACTTTTGGAAAATCTTTAACAGTAGAATTAACAAAGACAAGTCTTAAATTTCTTCTCTAATACATTGAATAGATTGGTCTAGTCTTATTACTTTGTTAATAACAGTTCTGTTGATAAAATTATACATCTCTTTGCTGATGAATACATCATCTTTGGTACTGGAATTATACATCATCTTTGCTGATGAAATCATACACAGCAATATACTCCACTGTTGACAGTATGTCATTACTTTCGATTTTTAATACAATTAATTGCTCAAGAATGTAAGAAAAAAACTAATTGTCTTATTACTTCTTTCAGTAGAAATTTCTCCAATATTAGACTATGATTGATTAACCTGTCATAAAGCAAATGAGTTCTTAGGAGTTTGGTTAAACTTAAATAACCCTCAGTTTTCTTCAATGATATTTAAAAAGCTCATAAAGGCTTTAAAAATTTATCAGAAAGGTGGTTTTGAAACTACGTCAGAAAGAAATAGCAGAACAGGTGGCTTTGAAATTTAATCTCACAAAATTTTGTTTTACAGCCTAGTTAAGTGTTTTAAACATTTTACAGCCTTTTGCTTAAAACAAGTTGCCATGCATGATGTAAGAATGAGTATTAAATAAAAATATTATAAAATAAAAACAAATTATTTATACAATATAATTACCAATGCTTTTATTATCATTTGAAGATTTGACAAAGTTTGAAGCTTGCCCACCAACTGAAACATTTACATTTGACATTTTTAGGTGATTAGCAAGTATTTTTATCTAAAATTAAAAATGTTAAACATTTTTTTAAAAATTTACTTTTTCTTAAATTAAAATATAAAGATAGATAGAGATTTTTTCCATATCAAAAAATAACAAAAAACGGAGACTATGTTTATGTTTCAAGTTTTTGGGGTGAAAAAATTATATTTAGAAGATAGAAACTATGTACGAAAATAGTAGTTGATTAAAGCTGACATTTGACATCTAAAAAGCAGATTTTATCTTAGCTTATTTTATACTTATGGCTTATTTTAGATTTCTAGATTCTAAAGAAGTTGAAGTCTGTTTTTATGAGAAAAAATTTATAATTATGACTATTTATACAACCAGTTTTTAATCACAGAGAGTCTAAAATCTAAAAAACTTGTTGCTATGACTATTTATACAACCAGTTTTTAATCACAGAGTCTAAAATCTAAAAAACTTGTTGCTATGACTATTTATACAACCAGTTTTTAATCACAGAGAGTCTAAAATCTAAAAAACTTGTTGCTATGACTATTTATACAACCAGTTTTTAATCACAAAGGATTTAAAGAGAAACAATTTTATCAACAGAAGCTAGAGTCACTTGACTGTCAAATAGGATTTCTCAAACGGGGTCCCGAAGATAAAAGTGGCAGCAATATTTCCTGGGATATCACTTTTATATCCCAGAATAAAATTTAAAAAAATTTTTACATATGATAACTGTTTGAACTAATTCGACCAAAAATAAGAAAAACATTATTGCATTTAGTTGTGTTTTATGTGTTCATACCTTATATTAAAACCTAGCACAACAAAAAATATTATTGAATATATCTTAAACTATCTAACTCAAAGAATGCATTGCAATGCAAAAGTCAGACTCTTCAAGATCTAGGGAGACTCTTTAAGAGTTCTAATGTTATTTTTGGTCATTACTTTTTTTATATTTTGGCAGTGACCAAATCCTTCAAGAATTTGAAGTTTTTTTTGCTAACACTTTCAATATCTCTAGAAATAATTGTATTTGTAGAAGCCTCAATCTAAGTTCAATATACCATGCCATTAACTGGGTATATAATATAAGTTGTTCATATACGTTCATAAAATGTTCATACACATTAGAACGTTCTCACATACATTAGAACATAAAACATCATATACGTTAGAACGCCATATACGTCATATACATTAGAACATAGAACGTTCTCATATACATTAGAACATAGAACGTTCATAGAATGTTCATATACATTATATAGAATGTAAGTTCAATATACCATGCCATTAACTGGGTAAAAAAACTTGGATAATAGAATATTTCAATTAATTTTAACAATAATATAACTGAATTTAAGTATATACCCAGGGCAAGCATGTGAAGAAATCAAAGGCAACTATCTGAGAACCATAAAAATTAAAAATGAGATACAAAGATAAAACAGTCAAATTTAAATTTAAATCAGTTTCACCTATGTATCTTATTTATTATAATTTATTTTATTTCAAGTAGTTTTATTTTCAGTTTTTAATTGTATTTCAGAATTTTAAAATTATGATGTAATATAAGCTAGGTTTATTAAAAAAATTTCTTATAACAAAATTTGATGACGACAATTAACTTATTTTTAGCTGATCACTTTTTGTGAAAGTATGAATTTAACAACAAATATAGGCAATTTGAAACTTTCAAATTGTATGTGGTACAACATATTCAATATAGTTTTTAAAAATTATTTAATTTTTTTTTTTTTTTTTTTAATTATTCACCTTCCCAAGGCCCGAGGGGGCCACTACAGTCGAGGAGGCTATTCATTTTTTTTTTGTTTTTTTTAAATTTTTTTTTTTTGTAAATTGTTGTACAACCCTCTCTCAACTCTTTAACTCCGAAACATGAACCTTGACAAGCAAGACCGCTGTGCAGAGAAATTAAGTTGAGCGCGGTACTTCCAGGGAAGTGGTGGGAGTTGAACTACGAACCTCTCGCTTACAAAGCGAGCGCTCTTACCACTACACCACTACCGCATATGTATAATATACTATTAAAATACCGCATATATATAATATACTATTAAAATAAAGATAATTCAATATAATTTACCAACATAATTAAATAGTGGTCTAATCAGTTTAAAAAAACTGTTTAAAACATTTTTTTAAAACATCTAAAACAATTTTTTTAATCTGATTAGACAACTATTTCAGACCCAAATAAAAAACAAATATAAAAAACAATTTTTTTTTGTTCGTTTTCCTACTAGCACTTTTTTGGAAAATTTTGTGATTTTCAATTTTTTTGGGTCACCTTATAGTAGTCTTTTAGAACATTGCAATTTTTACAGAGTTTTTTAAATAATTTTTGTACATGATTGATGTTTTGTTACATTACTATTATCGTAGTGTTACATTACTACTGTCGTAGTGTTACATTACTACTGTCGTCGTGTTACATTACTATTGTCGTAATGTTACATTACTACTGTGGTCGTGTTACATTACTATTGTCGTAATGTTACATTACTATTATCGTAGTGTTACATTACTACTGTCGTAGTGTTACATTACTACTGTCGTAGTGTTACATTACTATTGTCATAGTTTATTGTCATTACTTAATATAATACACTTTATTAATTATTATAGTATTAAAGTTATGAATTATTATAGTATTAAATTATAGTATTAAAGTATAAATAACAGTATTAAATATTATTATAGTATTAAATAGTATTAAAGTATAAATAACAATTATAGTATTAAAGTATAAATAACACTTTAACACACTACTAATATGTTTTTATAAAACTAATATATATGTATATATTTATAATACTTATATTAATAATATATTTCAAATATTTGATTAATCATTAAACTATTATCTTTAACCAAATCTAACGACAGTAATAAAATCATTTTTTTTTTTTTTTTATTAACGAATTTCAACCCTCTCACTAAGTTATTTTCTTTACACCTTCTTGGATTATCGTTTACTACTGACCTTTGAAATAAAAACTATATATACAACCGTATGTTAAATTAGCATCTGGTAAATTTATTTTTCTTTATCGTGCTCGTCATTTTCTTACTCCCAATTTTATTGGTCCCTGTAGACTGGTTTTTCTAATGATGCCCTTTTCTTCTATACAACCTCCAAAAACGTGTTGCATATTTAGTTAAACCTGCTCTATCTGATAAATATATAATCTATACATACTAGTTAAGTTTTGAGAAAATATTTCTTTAGCTGGCAAGAAGATAAGTACAACATCTGGTGAGTTGCAAATACCTCACAGCATAAATCTTTTTATTTTTTGTTATACATTAAAAACTCTGGGATTTTTCAAAAAATTGATAATAAAATTTTTTTAATGATACTTTTCAATGTAAATCCTCTGTAAAATATTTACCTTTTAAGTATAAAATAAGTAATCAAACATAAAAAATCACATAAAAAAAGTTCAAAATTAACAATTACCAATTTTCAATCAAGTAAGTTTAACAGTAATTTTTAATTAAAGTTTAAAAAAAATAAAAAAATAAATAATAATAATAATAATAATAATAATAATAATAATAATAAAGTTAAATAAAAAATCTCAAAAGTTTTTAGTTATCTAAAATGAAATGATGAAATATTGTTTTGGCTAATTTCTGAAAAATTTAATACTATGACATCGTTATCACGCAAAAATTTAATACTATGACATTATTATCACGCAAAATATTTTATGTATTGAACGCCAAGTAAACTTTTAGATTCTGACTGCTAGAACCACCTGTTTTCCATAGATTCTGAATGCTAATAATAACAAAAGTAATAACAGCATTAACAAAAACAATAATATTAACAATAATAATACCTTAGAGCACAACCAATCAAGTGTTTTTTCTTTATTTAATCTATATACAACAAAATCACTTGTCTCTTTCTCGTCACAAACATTAGATAAATTTTCTTTAGTTAAGCATGCAGCAAGAATTGAAACAGAAGAATATGTCTCATCAACAAGTATATTATCTAGGGTTGTAAAATGACCCTAAAACAAAAAACTTTAAATAATTATTTAACAAAAAATTAAACATCAAACAGGTCCCTAATATTATCAAAAAAAAGTTTTTCAAAAGTATATTATGTTGGATGTCAAATAAAGTGAAATTATATGAAAATTTTTAAAAAATTATTTTATAAAAAAAAAAAAAATTTTTAAATCTTTTTAAGTTCTCTTTTTTTGTTGTTTTAAGTCAAAAATGTCATTTTTTATTTAATAAAATCTAAAATAATAATTTATTTATAAAATTATTAATAAAAATTTATAAATAATTTATTTATAAAAAGACTCGGAATGTGCTAACCGCCAATGCTTAATTTGTGCTTACTTGACCCACGTTTTACTCTAGAAATATTGTAATATATTATTAAATCAAAATATATTTTAAAAATAGTTTATACGCTGTCTTTTTTTTTTTAACAAATTCAACTTATTTAATTATATATATATATACATATATATATATATATATATATATATATATATATATATATATATATATATATATATATATATATATATATATATATATATATATATATATATATATATATATATATATATATATATACATGTATGCAAATAAAATACAAAGAATACAAAAATATGAAAACCAATTTTGATGTTTTTTCCAAGTAAGGTAGTGCCAAAAATAATGGATCAACTTTAGTTATCATGTGTAAACTTCCGTCTAAACATAAAGTAAAGGGATATGTGTTTATCTGACACTAATCTTAAAGTTACTAAATCTTTCTAACAATTTTTTATTTTTTTGATCCATTTATCTATAATTATTATTACATTTTTAAATCCACCTTAGTTTTGATATAACTCTTAGGACCCTGCCCTCGCATAGAATTTAAATAAACTTATCTCAGATTATCAAATCTAAATAGAACATATAAAACAGACCTGTCTGCCTACTCCACCCTAATAAACTTATACTTTCTGGAAAGCATCTGTCTAAACTCTAACAGACCAGATCTTTTTTTAGCTAATAAATAAACAATCAACTGAATTAAATAAAATCTTTATTGCAAAATTAACTTAATTCTTTAACTCTGAAACATAAAAATTTAAAAACTGTAAAGCCTTAGTACCAAGTTAAATAATCACTTAAAATCAATAATCATTTTAATGACTTTATTTATATTTATCTGAATTTCACGCAGCATTCACGTTACACATTTATTCCACTATACAGATCAGAATCTTAGGTTTTATTATACTTTTAGAATTTGGGAGATTTTATTTTATAAAGACTGTTTATGGTTTGATCATTTTTTTTTTCCCTCCAGAGATATCTAAATAAATTTTATCAGATTTGTTTTGCGTAGCATTATTCCCAACACATTTATTCAATTTGACATATCTCAAACAGTTACACCTAAAATCGTATCTGTAATCCTACTAGACTTTATAAAACCTAACCAACTTATATTAAAAATATCAATAATGGAACAATGGCAATAACATTTACTATGTGATCTTAAAAAAATTTAGAGAACCAGACAAGAGTTTACGAATAAACATACAGTGCTGTAAGAAAAACTTATTTAAGATTATCTTAGTAGATGGAAAAAAAAATTCCACTTTTTTAAGTGATTAAACTCTTTGCAGGACCATCAAAGATTGTAATCACATACAAACTCATAGAGTGAACTTACAAGTCTATGGGCAAATTCTTGTCAAAAGTAAATCCAATAAGTCAGGTTAAACTGCCAAATGACCCTACACTACAAGTGTTTTCAATTAGGTACCCTATAATCCTCTGTTTGTTATTTAAAAATGGTGGCAACTGTTTGGCATTAGATCAATGATCCTCAAAGGTTTCAAAAAATTAAAACTTTTAAATAATTTTATAAAATCAAAAAATTAGATACTTTTATAGAATCAAGGTAAAGTGTTCTATTCTGCAAAGTATTCTAGATGCTGCTCATAATATAACATTTTTATTTAGTAAGAATAAAATCTAATGGAAAGAGAAGAGCTTTTTCTGAATTCTTTTTTATATCTCAAATAGAGATACAAAATTGGGATTTACCAAACACATCAAAGGAAAGTACAGTCCCTGATCAAATTATTAGCCGGCATTGCTATATTTTTGGTTGCTATATTTTTGTCTTTTTTGACTTTCTGGTACTAAACTTGTTTATTTTTTAAAAATGCAGAAAGAAAATTATATTTATGTAAAATATAACTCTTTCTAATATAAAATACAAAAAAATAAAAAAATAAAAAGTTTATTAACAGAAATCCTCAATATTTTGCATTTTCTACATTATTTTTTATCACAATGCAAAGTCAATTTGGCATATTATGAAGACAATTTAAAGCTTTCTTTTTTAAATGTTCCTTTATGGTTCCAATGCCAAATAACTTAGTTAATCAATTGGGTTCTATTTTATCTGTCACTTTCTCTCTTTAATAACTCCCATACATTTCTTTTGGAGTTTAAATGTGGAGTTCCCTGGCCAATCCATTTTTATGAGAAGCTAAAAATTTTTTAAGAGATTTTGCTGAGTGGCATGCAGTGTGGCATGGCGTTCTATCTTGCATAAATACTTCCATGTTAATTTGGAGGTAATATTTTCAATTGAGGTAAGAAAAGTTTCAATAACTTTTTGTATACTGGTCCTGATTCAATATTCCACCCACATTGTTTTGTCAATGAAGGCATTTCCCACTGATAACCAACCAAAATATCACTTTAGGAAGATGTTTAATTGTTTGGAATATAAAATCTTTATAAAATTTTTGCAGCCCTTTTGACATATTTTGAGTAATAATTTATATGGTAGACTAATCACTAAAGCATGGCTTGAGAAAACAAAACAAAAAAAAATCACAGAATATACAGATGGAAATACAGGGTGTTCCAAAATAAACAACTCCCTTTAATTCAAATATGATTTATTATTAAAACAAAATACATTGAAAACTTTAAAATTTTCTGAGAGCTCACATAAATAACAAATACTGAAACGTTTTAAACCTTAAACTTAATTTTAAAGTTTATTTAAATACATACTCCAAATGACCACCTCACAAATGTATCAGACGTTTTCGAAGTCGGCGAGCAAAGTTATCAATCACTTTGTGACATTCTCCTTATTTTATTGCACAAATCTACGTAATTGTGTAATAGTCAATTTCAATTCAGCAACAGTCTGAGAATTATTCTCATAAACTTTGTCCTTCAACATACCTCACATTAGAAGACTGGGAGATTCAAGTCAGGCTAAAGTAATGAAATTTTAAATCACCTCGCCTGCTAATCAAACAGGGAATCGTTAATTTAGTATTTTTTCTTTTAACATCAAAGGGTTTCAAACAATTGTTATAACAACAATCACTTGTATTGAAAGTAGTAAGGAATAACAATGCCATTGATTTCAAATCTGAAAAATAAAAACAACAAGTTTAAATTAGGGTAAAAGATTACTACATCTGTGGATTACTACATCTGTGGATTACTACATCTGTGGATTACTACATCTGTGGATCACTACATCCAACAACATCTGTGGAGTAGTCTAAGATCAACTTAACACTTTTGTTCAAAATCATCTGTATTTTTCTTTTACTCCAATAATATCTGTCCAATATTATCTGAATTCAGCAACATTCCTAACAAAATTTCTAACAACATCTTTAGTTTAAAATAATACATTATTGGTTAATATTTTTTCCAGATGTAATTACATCTGAAAAAATCCTATATGTAACTACATCTACATCAACTAAAATAATGCATTATTAGTTGATTCCTCTTAAAAATAACTTTATCTTAAAACCTACAGATCTAGTTAAACTAGATGTTATTACACTGTTATATTCATACACAAGATGTAAATACATCTTTTATATTCATTTAATTTCACACAGATATTATTAGACATCAATGAAACTTCAGATGTTGTTGGACAGATGTTATTATACATCATTATATTTACAGATGTTGTTGGACAGATGTTATGAGACATGACAAAAACTGATGTTAATACCCTGACCCAAAATTAGCATATTTATTGGAAATTTTTTGGGCTTTGTTTATTTTGGGACATTCTGTATTAAAAAAAGGTTCTCATAATTGTATTATAACAAATTACTTATTTTGAGTCATCAACAGTTAAACTACGATAACTCTTTGCCCAATCTGGTCATTTAATTTTCAGGTAATTGCAAAACAGCAAATTTTTATTCTTTTACTATTTTTACTAGCTTTCTCTCATCATCTAACAATATTACAATTCTCACCATCTTACAATTACATCTTAATACACATCTTACACAACAATACACATCTTACAAATATAAAATTCTCATTATCATACCATCTTACAATATACAATTCTCATTATCATACCATCTTACAATATACAATTCTCATTATCATACCATCTTACAATATAAAATTCTCATTATCATACCATCTTACAATATAAAATTCTCATTATCATACTATCTTACAATATACAATTCTCATTATCATACCATCTTACAATATACAATTCTCATTATCATACCATCTTACAATATACAATTCTCATTATCATACCATCTTACAATATACAATTCTCATTATCATACCATCTTACAATATAAAATTCTCATTATCATACCATCTTACAATATAAAATTCTCATTATCATACTATCTTACAATATACAATTCTCATTATCATACCATCTTACAATATACAATTCTCATTATCATACCACCTTACAATATACAATTCTCATTATCATACCATCTTACAATATACAATTCTCATTATTATACCATCTTACAATATACAATTCTCATTATCATACCATCTTACAATATACAATTCTCATTATCATACCATCTTACAAAATACAATTCTCATTATCATACCATCTTACAATATACAATTCTCATTATCATACCATCTTACAATATACAATTCTCATTATCATACCATCTTACAATATAAAATTCTCATTATCATATCATCTTACAAAATACAATTCTCATTATCATACCATCTTACAATATACAATCTTCTCATGATGGTGAGAATTTTATATTGTAAATTCTCATTATCATACCATCTTACAATATACAATTCTCATTATCATACCATCTTAAAATATACAATTCTCATTATCATACCATCTTACAATATAAAATTCTCATTATCATACCATCTTACAATATACAATTCTCATTATCATACCATCTTACAATATAAAATTCTCATTATCATACCATCTTACAATATACAATTCTCATTATCATACCATCTTACAATATACAATTCTCATTATCATACCATCTTACAATATAAAATTCTCATTATCATACCATCTTACAATATAAAATTCTCATTATCATACCATCTTACAATATACAATTCTCATTATCATATCATCTTACAATATACAATTCTCATTATCATATCATCTTACAATATACAATTCTCATTATCATATCATCTTACAATATACAATTCTCATTATCATACCATCTTACAATATAAAATTCTTCTTCTCATGCAATATACTACTCTCATCAGATTTTCTCATAAAATTTTAATAACCTTAATTTCTAAAAAATTTTAATTAACTTGATTTCTCCGCGCAGCGGTCTTGCTTGTCAAGGTTCGTGTTTCAGAGTTAAAGAGTTGAGAGAGGGTTGTACCACAATTTACAAAAAAAAAAACAAAAAAAAACAACAGTTTTTACATAATTGGGACTTGGTGGATTTACATCCCCACCAAATCCCTGGTAGTACTGCGCTTAACTCATATCTCCGCGCAGCGACCTTGTTCGTCAAGGTTCATGTTTCGGAGTTATAGAGTTGAGAGAGGGTTATAGCCACAAAAAAGTAGCCTCCTGGTCTGTAGTGGCTTTCTTGGCCTTAAGGAGGTGAATTAAATTAAAAATAATAATAATTTACCTTAAAAATATCTTCTTTCCCCTCCTCCCCCTATTTTGTACTTAGTTTTTAGTGATTAATTTTTCAACTAAAAATCATTTAAAAAAAGATAGAAGCTGATTTCTATAAAAAAAAGATAGAAACTGGTTTCTATAGAAAAAAGATAAAAGCTGGTTTCAATAGAAATTGAAATAACTGTTTAAAAATTATTCATACGTATTTCAAAATTTTATGTAATTAAATCAAAATGGTTAAGAGATCTTGGTGATACAAATGTAAGATTCTCAAAAAAAATGTACACTTGATTTAAATTTTACCTCTCCCTACATTAATGAATTGAAGTAGTGAAAAAAGGTGTTGAATTATAAATGAATTATAAGACAAATAAAGATTTTTAAAAAGTTAATAAAATCTTCTTTACAATACTATTTTACATTCCATGTAAAATAAGGCAAGCTTACCTTATGCAAATTAATGCTGTAAAATTTATTTTAACTAAAAAAACAACTCTTGTACATAAAACCTTTTAAGACTGAGTTTCCAATAAACCATGAACGAAACTTTTCATGAAACTTTATCACTTCAAAACATTGGTTTTGTTTAAACATGTACAAGCAAGGAGCACCTAAAAAAAATTTAAACAAAATTCAAGTGATTAGATCAAGCAAAAACAAAAACTTTTGTTTTACTAAATTTTTTTTACTAAAATCATTGAATTAAAAAACCCGTTAAATTTCAAAACTTCTAAATTGAGAATCTCTTACTTGAAACTACTTAAAAACTCATAATTAAAAAAAAAATTTATTACTAAAAAAATTATATTTAGTGACAATTTATAAAGCAAACCATTTTGAGGATGAGGAATTGTAAAAAAATCAATTAACTGGTTGTCTTTATGATCAAAGATTCTTTCTAAAACAATTAGTAATTATATACAAAAGTTTGAATTAAAATTCAACAAATTAAATTACGTTGTGTCATCACTCACCTGGGGCAAGAACAACCCATCGTTTCTCATTTTCTTTTTCCACCATTTGTTTTCTTTTAGTTTTATTTAATTTTCCTTTGATTAAAATTTAATAATTAAGAAACTATCTAATATATTTATTCATTGAGTGAAAACTGCTGCACATTAATGTCATATTAAAATCGTTTGTTTATAGTTGATACCAATATATTCTGTGCACTTTCAGTTTTGAAAAAACCACATAAAGACATACTGTACAATCCATTATTGCAAACCCGGCCCCAGCCCCAGCAAAATTATAAGATATAGCAGGGGTTGATAACTAGAGCTGGAAAAAAATTTATAATACTTGATAACTGGAAAAAATACTTGATATATTATAATTTGGGAGTTTGTATTAAAAAGGAAAACATGAAGATATTACCCATATACATGGGTAAAAGTTGTTATAAGGTTTTTTTGATGTGCAAAGAAAAAATTACTAAAAGTTTTTATAGCATAAAGGGACAGATACGGTAAAAGCATGTAAATTGTTGAATAAGAAGCCAAGCAAAAATAAGTTTTAATTTATGGTAATAGAGATGATAGCTCATTTGAGCATTGACCATGATTAGAGAAACAGCAAAAAAAGGAGGAAAGCTAAAGCCTGATGACAATAATGACAATGATGATGATGATGATCCTAATAATGATGATGATGATGATGATGATTATAATCATGATAATGATGGTAATGATGATCATGTTGATCATGATGATGTTTATATATGCATATATATACAAAATATAACATGAATTTAGAATAACAAAAAATATATTTTAGCATGTATAATTGTTTATGCAGCCCCGGTCACAAACCCGGCCTTGGCCGAATATTAACCCTGTTCGCTGACTATTTAACAATATTAAACTATTTACTAATGACAGAAAAATTATATCAACTTTAACGATACAAGCAGCAGTAAAAAACTGCAAGCTGATTTAAACAATGCAACACAATGGTAGTAAAACAGAAATACAAAACATTGTTGAATATAAATAAATTTATTACTTATAAAAAATTTTCATATTTGTCAAACGGAGACAAAAAAAAATAGAAGACAAAAAAGGCACATGTAAAAAAACATATACATAGCTTAAGAAACAAAAGTAAGTAAAATCAAATATTTAAAGTTTCTATAAATAATAAATTAAAATTTATTATTTATAGAAACTAATCATTCACTTCAATTTTGTATATTCGCCCTGATTTTGTTGTTGACAAGAAAAAGCACTCGGAATTTGATATAATTGAAACTGTTTCAAATACATTACTTTCAAGTAAGTTTCAGGTGCTTAATACATGATTGGGTGAGAATAAATAGTTGAGTGCGAATTTTTGCCCAGATCTAATAAACAGGTGGTCTTAATAAACATGTGGGTGGAAATCGTTACTTTCATTTTTATAAGTAGTTTTATACTTTCTAATTCTTAAGTCCAATTAAGGTTATGACTGTCCAATTAAGTCCAATTAAGGTTATGACTGAAAATTTTTTTTTGGTTTTGAGGTTTTTGAGAACAGTTTTTTTGTTCATAACAAGTAAAATTTATTAAATAAGGGGAGGGGGAGAGGTCTTCCTGTTTAAAATGGTCTTGTTTAAAAAAGGTCTCTTGACTAAGAAAAGCAGAGTTTCCTCTCAAACTTTGAGTCTTAATAAGCTGAGGATGGGAAGGAAAGTTTTCTGAAAAATAATAAATACCCACTTCCATGTATTAAGCACTTAAAAATATCACCTTTTTTTTTCTTTGATTTTTTATAATTTCTGTTTTATAAGTAAAAGCAAATTGTTGAAAAAAAAAAACATGTCAAAAGAAAATTTGACATGCTTTTTTTTTCTGTTTCTACAATTCTTTGTAACTAAACTGTTCATAACAACTTCTAAAAAAAAAAATACAATTTTTTTTTTAATTAACTCACCCCAGTAAAATGGTGATAAAGGTTCAAATTTAATGTTTTAAATTGTTTTATTGGATTTCATGCCTCAAAATATGTAAGTGTAAATTTTCCAAATTAAAAAACTAAAAGTTAACCATTTTTTAAATGGCAGATTTTTATATCATTGAGGTATCCTAAAGTTATTTGGAGACACCATTTAAAAAAAAAAGTTCCTCATATGCCCATGGAAATTTGTACAGTACATGAATCTTGTGGACATTCTAAGGATTTTTTTTTTTTTTTTTTTGAGCATCACATTCCATACAATTTATGCTATCTTATTGACAAATGAGCATTTTATATACACTTTTATCTTATATTTTACATAACTCCCTTTATTTTTTATAATGCAAAGAACTTATGCCAAAATTATTGCCACAGTTAAACTGGAGTTTGGGATCAAACTTGGGTGCAAAACCAGTATACCAGTGTCAAAATCAGCCTGGATACGCCAATGTATAATTTTTAAATTTTCTAATTGTATGTCTTGGGCCATTGTGTTGCTGTTGCCTTCCAGAAATAGATGTGTTATTCTTGGTTTTATTGATGAACTAAAATATAATGGTACTTATGTTAGTCTATGATTCGATCAGATCTGCATAGGTTGCCACATAAGCATCAAAACTTTAGGAGTGGGAAATGCAAACCATAACATTTTTGTCATGTTTCAATGCGGCACAAACTTTGAATTATAAGTTTCCTCTTTTTTTTCCTTTCTGAATAATCATATTGTAGCACAAAATCTGTCCATATCACACTTCAATAGACACTTCATTTGATTTAAAATCTAGTATTAGTTATCTCTGTACCATTTAAGTCTTGTATCACGATTTTTTTATTTATAAAAGTTTTTTCTTTTTTTCGCTCTGAAGTATACTCATTATCTACTTTTATTCTTTCAATAATTGTTATACTAGTGTTCAAGGTTTAAAATTTTATTTATCTCACTAATATTTTACTCTCCACTCATCACTTCTCTTAAAAGATGAGGAGGCTCAAAAGATTTATATTAAAAGATCTTCAAGTAGCTTTTCACTTTTTTCTAGATCATGACTTTCTGCTAATTAAATTTTAAGACAAAAATCTGGACACAATTCTTTGAACTGTAGATTTATCACATCCAACTTTTTTGGAAATATTGTACAAAGTCAACATTTTTGAATTTTTCTACCTTTACAAGTCTGAAACATATTTTTTCCTTAATTGATAATTTACTAAATATACTTAATCATTTCTTACATATGTTTTTAATTTATTTAATAAACTTAATCATTTCTTACATATGTTTTTTATTACTTTTAATAGTTTAAAATTTAGAATATTTATATTAGGGCTATCCGGCCAGATAGGAGTATTATTTGATATTTGATATCTGGCTGGATAACAATTTTATCTGCTTTTTTATATATCGGATATTTCATTTTAATGTAATTTGAAAATTGAAAGAAATCTAGAAATGTTATATTTTAAAATAATTTAATATTAATGGTTTCTAATTAATATTGTGACTATTATTATCAAAACAATACTAAAATTATATATGCAAAGCAAGTACATCAGCTTATCACTCATTTATATTTCTTTTACATCAACGTGGAGAAATTAACATTAGCCTTGATCACTTTTTCTCATAATTAATTAAAACAATCTTCCAAAAATACAGAGGATGCAAGAGGTGCTAGTAACTTAAGTGCTTATTCTTTTAGCAGTGGAAACTTCTCCTTATGTTTCCAATAATTTAAAACATCATTAATTTTTTTAATAATCAAGTGATTAAAGAAAACATCAACTCCTTGAGCAGCTTATACAAAGAAAACTTGATCAAAATTCAATTCATTTTGAACTTCCTTGTGCAGCTGAAGAAGATTCAATATTAATTTTTTTTCCTTATCATACAATTTACAACGAAATTTTTTTTGCATGATTATGCAGTAGATTTGTGGAAAATGACTTCTAACCAGATTTATTACATCCCCAGCTTATCTGCTTTCCACATGGAATGAAAATTGCTGTGAAATCACAGCTATCATTAATTTTAAAAAGCTTCTAAACTAAACTCGCCATTTTGAAGGTTCATCACAGTATTACTTTGTCAAAATAAAATATGTTACTTACGATTTGAATTACAAGCCACGTATGTTTTCACTGTCTTTAACACCTCCTCCCCCCTTGCACCCATTCGTGTGCTTTTGGGAAATCCCCCAAACCTGCTTACGTAATTTATGAATGGCCCTTTAGGTTAAAGAAAAAATATTTTTACAGAATATATCTTAAATAAGGCTCGTGTTTCGAAGTTATAGAGGTGAGAGAGGGTTATTACCACAATTAAGTAACCTTGCCTGTAGTGCCTTGGGGAGGTAAATTACCCAAAAAAAAAATCATACCCTACACACACACACACACACACACACACACACACACACACACACACACACACACACACACACACACACACACACACACATCTTTGTAGCTTTTGCTCGAACTGTTTATTCATTAAAAAATTGCTAATTAGATAAAAAAATATGATTTTATACTCATTAAAAGCATAAAAATAAAAAAAACATAAAAAAACTACATAAAAGCATATAAATCCTTTAATTTTATTTTTTTAAAGCAAATACAATAAATCTTAAGCACTGCAAAAAAAATCAGTGATGATTATGCCAAAATTAAAAAATCGCTTTTTTGACTTTTAAAATACTTGAAAACTCAAACTTTTTTTTTTATACAATCCTAATAATACTAAAACTTTAAGATAAAAACAGTGAATACTAAAACTATAAAAACTACTTTTCAATCCACTTTTTCTATCTAATATCTAAAAATAGACAAAAAAATTTTTTTTTTTTTTTTGAATGAGTGTTTATTTTGATTTAAATGCAATAATTTTACCACTCATAATTAATCACTAATGTGATGGTGAAGCTGTAGCAATCTTGGTTTTAATAACTAAAAACTTAATATAATTGATTAGTGATGAAGAATTCTGTGCAGTTACTTCATAACCTAACTTTAACACCTAAATCTAAATCAGTTCTTATAAACTAATTAACTATTTAAGAAGTGTATAGAGATTTTTTCAATTTTTAATTCTTAATTTTAGCTCTAAAAGTTAATAATTTACAAGTAAACAACCTGTTAATTCATCTTTATTGTGAATGATAGACTTCACTTTAGCTTCAAAAGTCAATAATAAATTCATAAAACCATTTGTTAATTCACTAAAACCCCCTGTTAATTCAGCTTTATTAAAGAAGTGTAAAAGGAAATGTGTTGATGAGATATAGAAACTAACATGAGATTAAAAAAGAATTTAATAGAACAATTTAAAAGTATTTAACTATTTCTAAATTTTAAAACCACATAAAATTACAGTTTTATAGTTCCTTTATTCTTGCCGCTACACTCCTTCTCAGTTTCTTCACTCATCCCTCTATAAAGAGCTTTTAATATTAAAAAAAGAAAAATTTTTTCAATAAAAATAGTTTAAAAAATTCTTGTTAAGCGATTCCTAAAAAAAATCAAATATTTTACTCATGTAGAAAACTCATCTCATAATATCACTTGATAAAATACTAGCAGGAATTCTTTTTGTAGGCTTAGCAACTTTGACATCTGGTTCAAAACACTTCCATAATCGTAAAGTTTCATCTGCACCAGCAGATGCAACTATATGTCCATTTGGTGAAAGTGTTATATTAAGAATTCGACCAGTATGACCTAAAAAAATTTTAATTTTCTTTAAAAATTAATTATTATCTAACCAAGGATGGAGAAATATCAATTTAAAAACAAACAGAAAATATGTTGAGTGAAATGGAATCAGAAAATATAAGACTGAATAAGCGTATTTTCATCAATTAAAAAAACTTATTTTGCATCAAGATATATGTTTAGTCAATTCAAAAGTTAATCAACATAGTTAATTGACATATTTAAGTTAATAGCATAGTTAATTGACATAGTTAATCAACATAATTAAGTTAATTAATATAGTTAATTGACATAATTACTTAAAATAATTAAGTTAATTAACATAAATAATAAACAAAATTGAGTTAATTAAATATAACTTTTAATTAACAGTTTAAATAATAAATTTGTATACTTCTGTTTTAACCAAGCACAAAAATTTTTTAAGCCTGAAACTGAAATCTTAAATAGTTATTAAAAAAATTAGAATAAAAATTTGAGCAAACTCACTCAAATTTTTATTCAAATCAAAAATCACGTCAAGCAGAGCAATTTACTTCAAAAACACTGAGTAATTGTACAGTTTTACATGAATAAAAATTTGAGTAAAATTTGCTTGAATTCTTATTCTTGTAAAGCTGAGCAACAACTGCAAAAATGCTAAGTAAAAGCAATTGCTTTTTTTTATTTACTTAAGCTAATATTGTTGTTTTATATAGCTTTTTACAATAATAATTACATGCTCTTTTAAAATAAAACGTGTTTTATCGTTAGGATTTATATATTTAAATAGATTTTCATAGGTGGTTTAAATATTGCAAGATTTGCATTTTTACTGTTTAATATTATGTTAAGTAAAAACAATTACTATGAGATATTTAATTTAAATGTTACTATAAGATATTTTTGGGGATAGTGCAAAACTGCGTAACTAGCATTGGATAATACCATGCATCTACAGTACATTTTTTTAAATGAAGATGTTTAAAACTTTTTTTTTTTAATTTTTTTTTATTTAAACAGATTTTGGGCTCATTTTAGTATAAAGAATATTATTCATTTTTTTTGTAATGTCAACAATTTGGTGTTAAAATTATTAATATCCAAGTATAGCAACCAATATTAGTTAGGCGGTTTTACACTCAATGATATCATGTCTAAAAATATCCCCCCCCCCTACCTTAACCTACCACAGTAGACAAGGAGAATATGGGGGAAGGGGAGGGGGGCCATTGTTACAAATAATAGTTTTTTGCAGGAACTTATTTAATGCGCTTACGAATAATGACTTTTAAAGCAATATTAAACAATCATAGTTAAAATTTATATGTAATAAAAAATTCATTAGATAAATAAAAGCAGCTTAGAAAATTAAAAATATTATCATATTTTAAACCAAAAAATTTTTTTAAGGAGGAGTAGGAGGGGGGGGGGGTTCAAATTCATGGTTGATATGTAAAAAAAACAATTTACAGTTTTATATTTATAACTAGGGTTGAAAATTTCCGGAAAATTTCCGGAAATTTTCTGGAAATTTTCCGGGAAAATTTGCTTAAAATTTCCGGAAACTTTGAATTTTTTTTTTTTTTTTTAATTTTTAATTTACTACTATGTATTAAAGAAATTGCAAAGAATTAAGCATCAAATCTCTTAAAAATGAGATAACTGTCATTTTTTTTTTTTGCTTAAATACATAAAAACTAAAAACCACAAGACGTTTCAGAGAAAATTTAAATTTTAAGTTTATTTAAAATTTCTAAGTCGTTTAAAATCTTATAAAAAAAGAAATTTATTAAAAACATGCTACCTCTATAGGCACAACATCTTTTTTTATATATATATACATCTTTCTTTAAGTATTTAATAGGGTTGGAATTTTTTTACAAAAGCTTATTAATACCTGTAATATATACACAAAAACTGCATAAAATTGAATGCTGACAAAACCGAGTTCATACTTACCGGAAAAAAGCAAATTAAAAACCGCACAATACCGAACAAATAAAACTTCACGATAAATTAAGTCATCTAGGCTTTATATGGGACACCTTTCCTAAAATCCGGGCAGTAATCCAAAATTCAATCTGGAATCCGTTTTGTTCACCCAAATTCCTTTGTCCAGTTATATAAAACTTTGGTTGTTCCACTACCTTATGGTCTAAGCTTTGTGAACATAAAAAAATATTAATGCAAAAGCTTGATATAGTTGGAAGAAACGCACTGAAGTCACTCCTTAACGTTTTAAAACATTGCATAAATTTTATTCATCCCTTATTTTTTATTGAGTATGTATCAATAATTACACAACAAAACAAGCTAAACTTATTTATTCACCTGAAGAGCAATAAAATGACATTTAATATTGTAAAGTAGCAGCTGAAAAACAAAACAGCTTCAGAACCTTTTTTAGGTAGTGTCAAAGGTTTGTGCAATAGTCATGAACTAAATCTAGAGAAAATAATGCAAAGTAAAAAAAAAAATCATTGACTTAATAGATGTAATTCCTGAAACGATTCTTCAAACTCTAAAATGAGCAGTTGAGTTCTGGAACTCAAAGGAGCAAAAAAACAATCTTCAAGGACATTCTTGAAAAAAAAAATTCCTAGATGATCATGTTTGAATGAAAATCTTGATAAAAAAAAAAAAAAAAAACTTTAAGATTTTTCATTTATCCTGAACTAAACTTTAATTTAGCTTACTTGTATAGTGGGTTTTTAACTAATAAATAAAAATAAAAAAATAATTTTATATATATATTTTATTTAAACTCCCTAACTAGACTATTATAAAAAAATAGCATGTTTTTGCAAACGTTAATGCTTAGCCATTTTCATGGTATGTGAAAGTCAATACTATCTTCACTTGAATACTCACTATCGTAATTGTTATCATCATAATCATCATCATCATCATCATTATCGATTGATAAGCAGCTGTGATTTTTTTGGCTTTTTTCATCAATGTTTTTTGTTTTTAAACATGAATGTTTTATCTTTTTAGAATTACGTTTAGCCAATTTATTCTGCATTTTCAAATTATAAGCAATAAATAAAAGCTTTGATGCTCTTGTATCGGTTAGGCGATTTCTTACTTTAGATTTTTGCAATGAAAACTCTTTGTTTGCACGCTCAACAGATGCAATGCTGCAGTTACAAGACAATAATATTAATGCAATTCTATTCAATAATGTTGTTGGTGCATATGCTTTCCACCATGTGACTGGATTACAATCTTCATTAAGCTTCCAAATATAGCTGCGATTATCCTAGCTAAATATTCCACTACGAGCTTTGAAACTCATTAATTAATCCAATATTATATCAGTGGCTAGTGTTTCATTTTCAGCTGTTCTGAATACATGCTGCTCAGCTAAAAGCATTTCTGAATGATTTAACTTTTGACCAACAAATCTTGGATCAAGTAAATTTGCGGCAAAGTGTATCGGTCTTACAACAAAGTCTTCACGCTTTTTAATGCAAGTAATGTATCCTCTTTTTGATGTAAAGTCAAAAGTGTTGAGTTTTGGAACACATCAGATATCTCAGTTATTACATAAAAAAAGACTTGTGGAACAATAGATACTGATGCTGCATCACTCTCTGATTCCAAAATGGCTTCTGATATAGGTTTCAGAAGTTTGAAAATAAAATCCCTCTTTTTCCAAAAGGTTTCATTCAATACTAATTCCTTTAAGTCAATTCCTTTTTTATTATTATGTTTGTCAAGATACTTTTGTGCTTTTTCATCAGTTACTGCCAGTCGCAATGAATCACGGAGTAGAATATTGCGTTGTAACATATAAAATTGTGATGACCATTTTGTTACTACAGGAAGAATTAAAATAAAACTTTTATTCAAGGAGTGTAGGCTACAACACTCAACAATACTTTTTAGACTGTGCTTACTTTTAAAAAACTTAACTAGTTGTTTATTTTGCTTCAGTGTTTCCGAAATTATTTTGTTCTTATTTGCAAGATCACAAGCTAATAAATTTAGGCCATGAGAAAAACAGCCATATGCTGACATCCAATCATATTTATTTTCTATTAATTTCCAAACTGCTACCATGTTAGCTGCATTGTCAGTGCAAAAAGCTTTTATTTTTCTTTTGTTTGATATAACATTTTTATCTTCAATAATCTCAACAATTTGATTGAATATGTATTGTCCAGTGTGGGAGTTTTCTTTTGGATGAATACTTCTGATGTATATTGGAGTTGGAGTAGCTAACATAATCTGTATATGTGAATCATTACTTATACAAGACCAACCATCTGTCATCAGAACAAAAGTTTCTGACTGGGATATTAAATCTTGTATGAATTTATTTACTTGGTTATATACTGTGTCTAAAAGATTATGACTCAGGGCATAACGATTGGGAGATGACCAACCTGGTCGAATCTTTTTAAAAAAATTAGTCCAGAATGGATTTTCCGACATTCTGAAAAGGGTGGCTGTTGCATAAATTGCTCTTGCATATTGTATATTTATTTCATCACACTCTTGTGTTGAAACTTTATCAAAAAAATATGATATTGATTTTTGATTGCTAGTATAATAGAAGTTGAACAGAAAGCCTTTTTTTCTTCTAAAATATTTGATAAAGAACATTCTTGTAAATCAGAATGTAATTCGTTATTAGCCACATTCATTGTGGAACTGGTTCCTGACTTTCTCTTAAAGATGGCATAATTGTTGTCACAGCAATCAATAAAACAATCATTTTCTATTATTAAATCTGACACACCTGCATTATTTGTTGTATTTGTGTTGAGTTCAATTAAAGATTTAACTAATAATATTCCGTTTTTTGTTTTAGGAGCAAAACTTTGTTTCATAACATCTGTTGCAAACTTTTTTTTTTACAGCTTTTGGAGATTTAGTACAATCTGTAACTAAATGTTTTTTAGCTCGTGTAGAGTTTTGTGTGCAAAATTTTGCATTGCAATATGTGCAAATAAATGCTGTTTTCCCATATTAACATATTTATTTTTTAAAGTGACCATTCCAGACTTGATCTAATTCTCTAGGCATAATTGTTGCTAAAAAAATTTTTACAGTACAAAAATAAATGAGAATAATTTAAAATGTATACTTAGTTTAGAAAAGCAGTTCATACCGACTGCAAATCTAATAAATAATTTATATTCAACACTAATTTATTATTATCATTATAGCTATAGTACTAATATACCTATAAAGTATTTTTGTAATGTTTTTATTGTTATTATTTCAAAAAGAGTAAAAAACTTATTTAATTATATAACATATATAATGGCAAGTTATTTGTTGTTTCTCTTGTATCACCTATTCTTTGGTTTAGGTTGACAGCTTTATATAAATCATTAAAAAATGTCAAAAAGGAATGTTTGTGTAGCAATCATTTCAGATACTATAAAGTTATGCATCTATAATATTATAAAGTTTTAATACTACTTAAAATACTATAAAGTTATACACCAAAAAATTAATAATATTGCACTTTTACCAATTCATAATATTGTATAAAATAAATAAGTAAATAAGTTATTTACTTATCTATTTTATTTAAAAAAGCTGTTAGTATTTTAATTTATAATCATATTTTTATAATCATCATCATCATCATCATCATCATCATCATCATCATCATCATCATCATCATCATCATCATCATCATCATCATCATCATCATCATCATCATCATCATCATCATCATCATCATCATCATCATCATCATCATCATCATCATCAATAATACGATTGAAGTTAAAATAAATTTTAACTTCAACAATTTTCATATACTTATAAAAAATGGCATCAAATATTTACCTTTTAGATCTGTTTCTCTTGTCATCTGAGGATACTTATAAATAGTCATCTGGTTGCCACTGGAGCATATGATTTCCTTGTGGATCTCCGACCATAGAATACCAGATATCTAATAAAATATATTAGTTTTAAAAGAAAAGATACAAACATATTTTTAAATACAACTGTTTGTAGTTAGTAATACTTAACAATAGAATTAGTGTTGGTAACAATAGAATTAGTGCTGGTAACCATATTATTAGTACTAACAGTGTTAGTACCGCTAACAATAGTATTAGTAATGCTAATAATAGTATTAGTAATGCTAACAATAGTATTATTTACATTATTTATGCTTAACTTAGACAAAAAAATTTATATGCAGTATACATTCTTTATGTTTTATTATGTTGTGTAGCATATTATCTTATTTTATATCATTTATTTAATGCGAAATTTTACAGATATATTGAAAAACTCTTTTAAAGCATTTTTAACATATAAAATTTGCTAATATTAGTTTTTTTCTCTAAGTTGTTCATATCAACATGGAAAACAAAAAATGCACATGGTCAACCTGACAGACTAAAACATAGGCACTATAGTCAATTGTAATATTTATAAAATTGTAATATCATATAAAAGTATTAGTTTTTTTCTCTAAGTTGTTCATATCAAACAAAAAATGTAGGATTTATAAAAATTTCAATATACTAATTTGATCTAAGAAGAAAAAAAAAAGTTTAATAAAATTGATTAGGACGGTTTTTTTAATTTATCAAATGCCATCTCGTTACTTTTTTTTTTAATTCCAAGGGCTCATATATATACTGCTGATACATATATATATATATATATATATATATATATATATATATATATATATATATATATATATATATATATATATATATATATATATATATATATATATACTGCTGATATATATAAATATATACAGACCATTTTTGACAGCCTCGACCGTATTTGGGCGCCACCAATTATGAGTTTACCAGTTTTTATATATATATATATATATATATATATATATATATATATATATATATATATATATATATATATATATATATATATATACACACATATATACATATACTGATATATATATATAAATATATGCTGATATATATATATATAAATATATATATATATATATATATTTATATATATATATATATATATATATATATATATATATATATATATATATATATATATATATATATATATATATATATATATATATATATATATATATATATATATATATATATATATATATATATATATATATATATATATATTATTTCGACAGCGTCAACCGTATTTGGGTATTTAGGCATTGCCCAAATTAAAATTTAAGGACTTTTTTTTTTTAAACTTTTTTACGGTAAACGTTTTTTTTTTTGCAAAGAAAATGCTGACTTTTTTTGCAAAATCAATAAGTTTCACTGGGAAAGGAGGGGGTGCCGTCTAAATTTTTTCCTAGAATAGGCTCTGTATATATATATATATATATATATATATATATATATATATATATATATATATATATATATATATATATATATATATATATAGTAGGGTGGGTCAAAAAAAATTTTTTTCTTGTTACAGGCTCTAAACATTGCTAATAGTTATTAATATTGATACTATCAAATATGAGAATGATTGTGATAGATTTAAAGAGCGCAACTTTATTGGGAAAATTACCGATACCCTAATATTTTGGAGAAAAAAAGTTTTTCAAAAGAAAGTCAACCTGGTACTCAAAAGAAGCGAAATTTTATAAAAAATTCGAAAATTATAAGTGTTTTATAAAAATCATATTGCTGAAAAAAATTATTATTAAAAAACATGTAAAAATGCACTTTTTTCACTTTTAGTTAAAAAACTATAGTTATTATGCAATAAAATCTAAAATAATAATTTTTATATCAAAAAACTATTATTTTTGAAATTTTTATAAAATTTCGTTTTATTTGAGCCCTAATATATATATATATATATATATATATATTATATATATATATATATATATATATATATATATATATATACATATATATATTATACTGCTATTTTAGGTAAGCAGTATGGTGTCATATTGAAACAGCCTGCTGCTGGGGGCTTCAGTACATACATCAACTAACAAATAGCCTGACTCATTTTTTTCTTCTCATTCTGAAAATGCATATTTAAATTAAGTAAAAAAAAATATGGTAACAATTTGTTACATATACTATAGTAGATATCAGTACACCAAAAGAGAAATACAACATGAATATATGGATATATATATATATATATATATATATATATATATATATATATATATATATATATATATATATATATATAATTTTTCAAAAGAGACTAACTACAACTTAAGTAAAAAAATTAGCAATACTTGTGCCATGGTATCTAAACTTTGTAAACAATTTCCTGTTCCAGTGTTCCATATTCTAATGTGTCGATCAAGTGTACCACCACCAGAAGCTAATAAATTTCGTTGCCATGGACACCACGAGACTGCCTAAAAATATAAAGTTAATTTGATTTTTTAAACATTTAGTGTGGTAATAATACAGTTAGTGTTACAAAATACTTTTAAAAATTGCATCATATGCCTCATTATGGTATTATTCTGTTTAATACCTAATCTACCATCATTACACCATAATCTACCATTATTACACTTTTATGTACTATCGTATATAGTAACAATCTATTTTGAAATATAAAAAATCAGTAACATTGTTCTAGATGTTATGCCACTAGATGTTAATTTCCTTATTTCATGACTATTGTTGTTCAACGTATGTCCATAAAGAATTGAATGAAAAGATGTCCATAAAAATTGAATGATTTCAATATTTTTTTAAATAAATATCATTCTATACCCAAACAAAATAGGAAGGTATAATACTTTAACATTAAAATTTATACTTGTATGTGAAAACTTATACAGTATAATTTTAAATCAACATCCATGCACTTCAGTAGATGCATCGGGTAAATTAGCCTCTGAGGCCACAAGTTTATTATTCACCTTGAGTTAATAATTGTCAGCAACATTCCTCATAGTTTAAAGTTGACTTTTTATCAAGATTGCTTTTGAAGCTATTGTCCTCAATCTTTTGTCTTCATACTATCACTCATTGACCCAATGAGTGATAGATGAAGTGATAATATGAAGACAGACATAGTATGAAGACATTAATAGTATGAAATAGTGACAGTAAGAAGACAGTAATAATATGAAATAGTGACTAATGAAATAGCGAGAAGGAAGTGGTTAAAATCATATACTTCAAATTTATGTTTTTTGAAATAAGAGAAACTAATTTTATGTAGGGATTCTTAAATATTTGCTTGCTGCAAACAGCCTTCCACTATAAATATATGACATACAATTATATGCATATTTACATATAACTTAAAAAAAATAAAATAAAAAATTATAAAAAACTACTAATAATAACCTTGACAGCAGCTAAGTGGTCAGTCAAAGAGTACAAAGGTGTTGTATTCTCAACTACACTTTCGGTACTTGCACTTATGGAAGAAAAATCCCATATATTTAGTGTATTATCATTTCCTCCACTTGCCAAAAATTTTCCATCAGGCGACCATTGTAAACCACAAACTTCCTGTGAATGGTTTAAAAAAGAAGCAGTGTGATGATTTGCAATTCGAACATCGTGATTAAAAATTGCACCACTGCGTGCTCCACTAAGAAATGAAAAAAAGAATAATTGACACATATATAAATACATACATACATACATACATACATACATACATACATACATACATACATACATACATACATACATACATACATAGATATATATATATATATATATATATATATATATATATATATATATATATATATATATATATATATATATATATATATATATATATATATATATATATATATATATAATGCTTTCTTGCGGGGGCTTTTTTGGCAAAAAAAGTGTTGTTTGCAGGGACCGTTTGCTTATCTTTGAATTATCATTGTATATAAACTATTATTGTTATTAAGTTAATATTCGTGGTTTTTTATGAGTAATTGGCTTTGCCATTTCGGGTATGTATATTTAACAAAAAGCGAAGTTGATTGGTTTGTGCACTTACAAGGACAAACTAGAAAATGATTTTTGCATGTATTATGTATATATATCTTTTTTTTTTTTTTTTAAAAAAAAACTCTTTTATCTTCTTAGAAAAATTGAATAAATAATAAAAAAGTATTAAATTATAATCTAATCATGAGTTTTTTAAGAATTTTTTTTTCCCTCTTAAAAGTTTTGTTTCAAACGCGAACTTACGAACTTGATTAAAAACGCATTTAAAAATGTAAACAAATGAAACGATAATGTTTTTTTTATTTTGTCATTGACTTTATCTTCATATTATTAGGATTGATTTATGTTGTTTTTGTATTTTGACTTTAAATATAACTACTTTACTGACAGTAAAGATATTATAACATGACTTAAATTTTTTTATCTTAGTAAGATATTAAAATCCTTATGATATTAAACTTCAAGATCTTAAACTTCAAGATTTTATAATATCACCAAGATGTTTTCATAAAAGATGTTTATGATACATATCACACATTTGTAATATATGTTACAAAAATATTTATGATATATTATTTAGTAAGATATTTATAATATATTTTATCCGACTTTAGTTATAAATACTTTACTGTCAGTAGAGATAATCTTTACTAACCTTAAAGTATTTATAGTTAAAGTACAATATAAAATATTAAAAATATCTTTAACAAATAAAATATTTATAATATCTTTGTGACAGTAAAGTATGATTTCTCCTTTGAACCTTCTAACTGTAATGCTGTGCATAAGAGAGTTTTTAACTGAAAAATACTTTTTCTAGAGTGTAAAAATTACTCAAATCAAGTCTATTATTATTTGTATATTTATATTTAAATTATTAAGTTATTTAGCATAGTCTTAGTAACTTTAAAAAACTAGCTAGCATTATAAAAAAAATCGGTTTTTCAAGTTTGCTATTTATTAAAGATGAAATAATGTTATTGTCAGAAGAATAGACAATCAAAGGGCGTGTTATATTGTTAATTAAACTTTCTATTGACTACAACGATTATTTTACTGATTATTCAGGGTTTTTTAATTAGCAAATGATTTTAAGGTCTGAGCTCTGATAAAACAAATCTGCATAAAATCAGTTTAGTTTTTTATTATATATCTATAAAGACCGATAAAATAGCAAACCCTTTAATAATTTTTGTTACAAATAAACTGTAAACTTACAAGGGTATATAATAGTATTTACTTAAATCATAAATAACGTATACTATAGAAATTACAAATAGAATTTAATAAAAAATTAAAATATTTTATTTATTATTGACTATTTTAATTAGCAGTTAGTTTCTTAATTTTTATTTAAAATTGCGATGTCAACACTATTTTCAAATGCTCGTATACTTTTACTGATTTTATTTTATATGATTTAATATATGTTTATGATATTTGTGTGATATGTTTAAGAGTTTTTAATTTTGTTATTTGTTTATGATATTATGTGTGATATTATGTTTAAGAGTTTTTAATTTTGTTATTTGTTTATGATATTATGTGTGATATTATGTTTAAGAGTTTTTAATTTTGTTATTTGTTTAGCATTTATTTTACTCTACTTTCAAAACACTTTAAGTCTAAGTAAAATTTTAAAATTAGGTTTTTTAATAAAGCCATGTAGGTCATTTTTCAATCTGTATTGTGTTTTTTTATTTTAAAATATTATTTTGTTATTTTTTAATACAGTAGAAATAAAATTAGAATAAAAAAAAAACTAAAAGACACTGTTCACATCTAAATCATATTGTTCTTTAACATTGTTAAAACATTGCTTCACTGGATATATTTTATTTATAAAGTTAGTGAATTTTGAAATTATATTTTTAATGCTTATGCACTTTAAAAGAAACTGCTTTTAATGAAACTTAAAGCAAATAGCATGCAAGCTATTAAGTTGTTAGTGATATATTCTCTGTATAGTACTGCCTGTTCACGAAGTGAATAATAGTAAAAGCGAATAGGAATACTAGCTGTTTGCTAATAATTTCAATCATCCATTGAAATTATTAGCTTCGCAATGGCAAAAAGATAATTATTTTATAAAGAAAGACGGATAGTTTTTAAGAACAGCTAAAGTGCAAGGAGGGACTATTGAGATTTGATGCATTCAAAAGTATCCCAAAACACAAATTTAAAAAAAATTACTGAATAAAGTTTTTAGAATGATTTAAAATTAATTCAAGTTTTTAAAGCAGTTTTGAAGACTAAAAATCTACAACTTTTTAGGCATTAATACATTTTAAAACTTCAAAATGGCTAGATTTGTTAAAAAAAATCTTTGCAAATTCATTTAGAACAGAAATAGGAATTTTAACCAAACCATTTTGTGAAAATGCCACAAAACAATTTTTTTAATGTATCTCTATTTATTTATGCATCTGATTATCTTATTTCTCTAAATAAGTCTTTTTAAATTTTGAATATTATTATTAGCTTTAGTTCTGGTTATTTTCAGGGCTTTTTTTACTTAGCAACTAATTTAAAAGAACTTGTAGGTATAAAGGGCTTTTTTGTTACCTGCCTCCAATCATCAAAATTTTTTGCACAGCCTCATTATTTGACATAAGCATAAACATACTTATGTTTAGAGTTTTCTCCATGTCTGGAAGTTAGCATCTCAATCACCAAAAAATCCTGGATCCAAAAAATCCTGGATCACTGAACCAAGATTCTAAGATTTTATTTCAGGTTTTTTAATTCTTTTTACATTTTAAATTTGCTTCAATACCTTTATTTTTGATTTACTATTATTTTTCATTTTTGTACTAAAAAAATGTATTTCTAATTTTAAAATAGTTTAATAAATTTAATTTAATTTAAAAAAAAAACTTTTTTTAAGCAAATGATATAATTTTTTTTCCATGTGGGAAGGGAGAAGAAGTTTTTAATTACACTAAAGCTTAAAAACTTTCAAACAAATTCACTGAATTGAATTAGTTTTGTGTTAACTAGTTTTTAGAAAACAAAGAGCTTATTTAATTTTAAAAAAATTTATAAATGACCTTATTTTTAAGCTTTGCTAATTCACAGAGCATAGTTATTCTTTTGGTTTGTAAAAATTTAACTCTTTTATGAATCAACGTAAAATATGCTAAATTTTTTCACTCTGTTTTTCAAGTTTGTCCCTTAAGAATGAACCTTTTTTTTTTACTTGTTCCCAATAATACACATTTTCTTGCATGTCTTTATAAATGCAGTTAAAGTGTAAAATTACAGTATTTGTAAAAATCTCATAACACAGTTAATCTTTTGGTTTGCAAAATTTGAAGTCATTTTTGAATCAGCGGTAGATAAACAAAAAAAAAAAAAAATTTTTTATTTTGTCCCTAAATAAGCACATATTTTTGCATGTCTTCAAAAAAACACATTTTTCTGCGTGTCTTTATAATGAAATTTAAGAATTAAATTACAATACTTGTAAAAATATAAATTAAATGCTATGTCTTGTCATATCACAGAGCGCAGTGAATCTATTGGTTTGCAAGAATTAAAATCATTTTTGAATCAGTGCTATAGTAATTTTTTAAACTAAACTTATTTTTTAGTTTGCCCCCGAAAATACATATTTTTTTGCATGTCTTTATAATGAAATAAAGTATAAAATTTCTGAAGTAATAACATTTTTTATGAAAAGTTTGTGTACCTAGGCCACCTCACTTATTTATTTAAAAAATAAAAAGTTCTAAGTTATGCTTTTTATTTTTTAGTTCAACATTGATTCTAAGAGAGCATTGCAATAGCAAGTTATAATTGGACACTTTTTTGATGGTGTAAAGTAAATTTTTGCCGCTGATATATTTAATTATAGTCTTTTTTTTTCAATTTTGTTAGTCAAATTTGTTATTTATTTAAGTGTTGCAACCGCTTCCTTTATCTTGCTTTCCTGATTCATATAATTCAATCGTTATCTTGCTCTACAATCTTCATCTGTTCTCTTCCAGTAACTTCCAACTCTAACTAGTGGTTGCTTGAAGCCTTGTTGGAAGTGAAGATGTTATGTGCCTATTTTTGTTGTCAATTTTTTATGGAGGTAAACCTAACTTTTGAAGAGCGGCCTTAGGTACAATAGCTTGTCTTTATATGTTTTAATGTCTTTACATATTTTATATATATATATATATATATATATATATATATATATATATATATATATATATATATATATATATATATATATATATATATATATATATATATATATATATATATATATATATATATATATATATAATTTAATCTGTTAATAATAATATAATTTATATATATATAATATAATTTTTATCTGTTAATTAGTGACAAACATAATTAGTTTAATAGTGGCGTTGTGACATCACTAATTAAATGAATTGGATGTTATCCAATTCATTTCATCATTTCATGTTATTCTTCCTTAAAGAAATAAAATAAAAATCTGTGCGCTTAATTAATATTGTTTTGAACTATTAACATTGGCATGTAATTTTAATGTTAGTTATTTGCAAGTTTAAAAAAGGAATACCAATTCACTAATTATCAAATATTAAGTTATTTTTGTAACTATAAAGTTCAGTCATGAAGAACTATTACGAAGATTAAAATGAAAACAAAGAAAATAATAAAAATGTTGACCATCCAAAAAAAACAGTTGACCGTCAATTCCAAGGGTTACCCGGTCAAATGTATATCCATAATTATCTATACAAATTTGCATCCCTTCACACCATTTTGCAGTTGCTTAATAGAAATTTTATTTTTGTGATGACATTTCCAAAAATTTGATGACAAATCCAAATTAAAATTGATTCCCAAATATTGTCACAAAAATAAATTTCTATTAAGCAAACACAAACATGAAGATTACATCGTGTCGTAAAAATAGTTTTTCTGTATAGTTTTACGTAACTAATTCCATTTATATGTAATTATTTTAACAAAAAAATTATATTTGTATTTTAACTGATGATTGCAATAGGATAAAACTTAAAGTTGTGAAAATCATGTAGTTTTATTTTCAAAATACAGACAAATATGTGTATGTATACAACATAAATTAAATCTTAGCTTTGTGTTTGTCATTTCTAATAAATTATGGATTTATCTAAAAAATACTTAACTGATTCTAAAATAATAATAGAAGCATGAAAAACAAACTAACAGAAATAATAACTTAAACATTTATTATTAAACTTTTATTATAAAATGACATCAAAGTTTGAAAAAACTACTGAAAAAACTTTAACTACATACATCTACATACATACATTAATACATGATGAATCTTTTTGTTGAAATGTTATATCTAACCATTATTCAACCATGAGCCCCAAAGTACTTTAGTAGTACTTTAAGTCAGAGTTATCTTCTAACATTTTACTAAAAAGAGTCGTTCAAGGCAAAAGGACATTATGTTGTATTGTATTATAAAATACCAGTAGCAATTCAATTAACTTAACATATGAGAGTACATTTAAACTTGATAATTGAGCAAAACCTGACAAAAAGAAGATCTTTTTAAAGGATGCATTGAACTATATCAGTCCATCATTAGACAAAATAACTCAATGGTTTAACATATATGGAGATGACAAACAAAATGACTATTTAAAATGTGTGATTTTCACCCTATCAGATGTGAATTTTTTATTTATTTATCAATATATTGCAATATAAGGTAATTATGCGTATTATTGTATTAATTATGATAATTATAATGAAAATGACCATGATTGACAAATTTAAAATATAAGAAACTTCAAAAAACATGAGAAAGCATCCAAAATTCTAGGGACTATACAAAATTTCAGAAACCTAATAAATTCAGGAACTATACAAAACATCATAAACTCTTGGGGAAGCAACTAAGGCTTATGATAATGAGACAAATCAAGAAAATATTGTTGTTTGATTTCAATATGACTTTAAAAAGAAAATTTTCGTTTAAAAATCTAACCAGCACAAAACTTAATGTTGATCAGAGCCCACTTCACTTTGTTATTCCCAGTAAGACAACTTGCAACTATATTACTAGAGATCAAGGTTTGACACATAATGTATGAATCTTAGGACAAAATTGAGGCAAATCATTCAGATTTGAGGCAAAGATTCAGAATTGAGGCAAACCAAGAAAGTATTGCATATAACACAAAGTCAGATTTCTAGATAGCTTAAAAAAACCAAGTTTTCCCTTGAAAATCCAACCAGCAACTTAATGTTGACTAGTACTTAATGTTGAAACTACATTACAAGTAAACGCCCTAAAACTAAGTTGTTTAAAAAAATGCATGACTCACTCCTGCGTGTATTTTTTACTATTATTACTACGTTTTTCTTTCTCCTTTTCTTTTCTTTTTTCTTCTTTTCCATTGTCTTTTTAAAATTGTATCTATGCTGACTCAACTTCAGCATAATCAAAAAAAAATTTTTTTAAGAAACAAAAGCAATAGTAATAGTCTTTAAAAGCATATAATAAAAAAATATAACAAATAAAAAAATAAACAAAAAATAATATCAGGTTAACCACGACAAAAGTCAATTCTATTGACTTAAAACTCACTAGTTACTCACTAGTTATCACTAATAGTAATCAAAAACGGGTCTTATTAATTCAATACCCAATGTTGATTATACAATTATAAAATAATCATATAATTAATATCTTTTTTTTTTCCTAAGTATTTTATGCAGACTGCAGATGTGTTACTATTTGGTAGGCATTTTAATATAATTTTTTTCAAAATATTCCAATTTTTAATAATTTAGAATAAAATTTAGAAATGTTTTGAATGTTAATATATAAAACTAGAAGTAAAACAAATGAAGAATGTGAGATTCTGAAGAATGTGAGATTCTGAAGAATGTAAGATTCTGAAGAATGTGAGATTCTGAAGAATGTGAGATTCTGAAGAATGTGAGATTTTGAAGAATGTGAGATTCTGAAGAATGTGAGATTCTGAAGAATGTGAGATTTTGAAGAATGTGAGATTCTGAAGAATGTGAGATTCTGAAGAATGTGAGATTCTGAAGAATGTGAGATTCTGAAGAATGTGAGATTCTGAAGAATGTGAGATTCTGAAGAATGTGAAATTCTGAAGAATGTGAGATTCTGAAGAATGTGAGATTCTTTCAAATAAACAAATTGTAACAGATTTCTTTCACCACCACAAGAGTTTAAAAAAATCTATTTATGAAAATGCTTTTTGGAATAAAGCTTTCATTTTTACACAATTAGAACATAACCCTTTTGTATAAATTATAAAAGAAAATTTTAAATAAAATTATTATTTTTTTACTCATTCATTTTATGATAATCTTAAATCTTTTAAAAAATAAATACATATCATTTAAAATATATATATATATATATATATATATATATATATATATATATATATATATATATATATATATATATATATATATATATATATATATATATCATCTTAAAATATCATTTTATTTTAATTAGTAAAATTAGTCAAGACAATAACAAATTAAATTAAAAAATTTTTTTAACAAATTAAATTAAAATTTTTTTTTTAACTTCATATACTAAACAAAGAAAAGATATTGAAATAATTGACTTGTTTTATTATTCAACGAGCGTGTACTTTGTTGGAAACTTGTTGTGAATGTAATTATAAAAATTATTTACTCTTTTCATTTATAAATTTTTGAGTTTTATTTTTTTTTGGAGTTCAAGTTTTAATGGTTTAGTTTGTTTAACTTTTGTTGTTTTTGTCTTATTGAAGGTTCTTTTTATAAATTATTTTTCTTATTATTTTCTTATTGAAAGTTCTTTTTATAATTCATTTTTGGTTAAGTTTAGCTTTTTTCAGCAGATTTTTGTTCATAAAATTGTCAAAACATGTCGTTCAAAAAAAGTTCAGAAATGGATTATAATTAGACGCTATTCTTGACTAAAACTACATTATTATTTTATATCATTATTTATCTATTTCTTTTCAAATTTTTTCCTTACTTCATTTAGAGTTAACAGCTAGGTCTAGTTTTTTGAAGTAAACATATTCCTAGACATTAGAAGTCAAGGAAATGCATGCATACACTGTCAAAAGAACCAAATTCAAAATGGGTTGTTTCTTTTTTATAGCCTTAATAGTAAAGCTGATCAATACAAGCCAGATGATTAAAAACCTCATTTTGTTTTAATAAATTTGGATTTTTTCTTTGTTTTATAGAGGTTCCTCATTTTAGTGTGTTTTATAGAGGCTCCTCATTTTTATGTGTTTTATAGAGGCTCCGCACTTTTGTGTGTTTTATAGAGGCTACTTATTTTAGTGTTTTATAGAGGCTCCTCATTTTAGTGTGTTTTATAGAGGCTAATCATTTTAGTGTGCTTCATCGAGGTTCCTCATTTTTGTGTGTTTTATATAGGCTACTCATTTTTGTGTGTTTTATAGAGGCTACTCATTTTTGTGGGTTTTATGTTTTCACATTACAACCTAAACATGTGTTAATATAAAACCATCAAACTATTGATTCTAGGCACTTATAAAAAATAAACTTATGAATATAAATATTAAAAGAAAGTTATTTCTTAGCTTGATTATTTTTTTTTTTTTTTTCTTTAAATAAGATTTTCATTTCATAAATTTTCATTTTGAGAATTATTTGTCACAGAAACATATAAAGATATTACTAATTCGCCTCTCAAAGATATTTTTATTGCATAAATTATATTTTATATATTTCTTTTCTATACATAATTTTAAACAATCCATGCAATTGCCAAAAAAAATAAAATAAAAACTTTAATATAAAAGGCGAAAAAAAAAAAAACCTTGTAACTATATGCTTATTCCAGTCTAGTGAACCAACTCTACTAGCATGACCTTGCATTATTCGAACTCGTTTTGAAGATTCAGCATCCCATAACTAAATTATATTTATTTGCAATTATTACAAATACTGAAACAAATTAGAAAATACTACAAATGTCAGTTATATAAAACTATTACAATTGAAACAACAATTTTACAAACTCCTTGTATTTTTGTATGTAAATGGTATAAAATGCTTAGCACTATGTAATATATATATATATATATATATATATATATATATATATATATATATATATATATATATATATATATATATATATATATATTATATATATGTATATAGAAATATATTATACATATATAAATATATATATATATATATATATATATATACACATACATACATGTTTATATATATATATATATATATATATATATATATATATATATATATATATATATATATATATATATATATATATATATATATATATATATATATATATATATATATATATATATATATAGGCTTCGGCAGAAATCAATGAGTTCGAGAGCAGAGAAAAGCTCTCCTAAAACAAACTTGGGGAGCTGCGCAAGCTGCTCCTCATTTAAATCAACGCTTTTTTTTAATATTAACTTTTTTTGCAACAACCGTGCCTTTAAAATTTTAGTATATTATGCAATTAATTTTTTAGAAATGACAATAAGTTTTTTATTTTATTTAAAATGATAATTATACTTTTGTGAGAAAAATTATACTTTTGCGAGAGCTGTAAAAAGCTGGTAAAAAGCTAGAGCCGAGCCATAAAAAAAAACAGTCGGCTCCACAAGCCATAAAAGCTTGTGGAGCTGACTGTTTTTTTTACGGCTCGGGTTCTAAGAAATATCTGGCTTCGACTCCCGAACTTTATGAACAAAAATTTTGTTATCACATTTGCTAAACCCAAAACTATACCAATTACAGCAACTAATTTTTTACTAACTCATGATTACAAGGTTATTGTATTACTATCACTACTCTACTACAAGATATTACATTTGGAAAGAAAATTTTTGAGGTAAACACTTTTTTTTATATATTATTTACCCAAAACTAGAGTTTTTAGTTCAAATTTTAGTTCTAATTCTACTCAGGCGGCACGGGACCTAAAAAAGAAGTATTTTGAACGTTCAAAAGACGTTCAAAATGCTCCAAAGACATTTAAAAGACCAATTTTGTATGTCCCGTGCCCACTGGGTAAAACATGCGATCGTTAAATTCAAAACAATAAAAAATTAAAAAAAATGAAAAATAGTTTAACTAATGCAAAAACTACTAAAAATATCTATTTTAATCTTAGGAACTTGAAAATTATATCATTTTAATATTTTTTATTATTTCAAATAAATAAGTGAACATTTACGCTAATCGACGACATCAACTTTAGCACAGTGTCTTGGACAATCTTTTTTCCTACTAATGTCCACTCTCTAATCAAATCTTTAGCTGTATTTATTGTTTTGCCATTTATTTACCATATATATCTTACGCAAATATCCTGTGCCTATTCCCCAAACCTTTTCATTGGGATGGATGTGTGCAGATTGATGGATACAAGCTTTTTGATATGAATTTGATGTCTCTCCAACTGTACCACTTTTCTCAGAATAATGACAAGAAGCAAGATTAGGCTGTAATCAACATGGGACATCGTGACTTCAATAAAATTGCAAAAGTCTAACTTGCAAGTATTCTTTGATGTAAAAACCCAAATTGCAATGTGACAAAAGCTCGAGATCTCAAACCACAGCTGCATATTGCTTGCCAAAATTTAATCTTTAAAAACTCTAAAACTTTATAGCTTTTGCCTTGTTCTCTGTTTGGTAAGCCAGGATTTTGTGACTGATCGTCGAATACTAATTGCTGCTTTCTTACCCTAAAGCCTATCTTTCTTCCAGATTCTTTTTCTCGTTAGATAGAGTGCTCTTATATTGTTTTATGACCATATAAACAGTAGTTTGCTAGATTCAAATGCTTTATCAATTGAAAGTCACAATGCAGAAGTAGTTGTGCAGAACTTTTTTTTTCTTTTAAATGTTTCAATGACATTTTAGTTAAAGGGATCCCAAACTCCCAAAACATGTTGTGTTCATATTAAAGATAATGTTAAAAAAAAAGGTTTGAACCAAGTTTTTTTGATTAAAAATAAATAATGAATGCATACCGAGAAAAACTAATGTTGTTGTTTTAGCCGAAGCTCGCCTTCTCCATTTTTTTCAATAACTCGGAGTCTTCAAATTATACGTCGTAATCTATAGACTTTGGCGATTCCTTTGAATCGCGTTTAATTCTTAAAAGTTTTAGTATTTGACGCCACGGTAGACTTTTAAAAATGAAAAGTGTAATTACACAAAGCTGCGTTTTTTTATTTTAATTCAAAAAGTACTATTTATATATAAATAGTATTAAATATGTAGTATTTTTTTAACATACAGCAAAACAAATTTATTTGTATTGTTTTTCGAAACATAAAAAATTTTTTGTAAAAAGTAAAAACAATAAATTATTTTTATTTTATAGGAGCAACTTATTTTTTACAGATATCTTAATAATTTTTAGATTTATATATCTTACTTATATTTCTATTGTTTTTAAATGAAAACAAATATTAAAACTTTACTTATCAGTCTGATAAAATGATTTTTGTACAAGTATTTTACATTATATAGAACGTTTTATTTACGGTCTCTCGTTTTTGTGCAAGAGAGCGCAGTATTATATACTCTTACTTATTTTTATTTAAACAATGGGAACTATTTTCTAACTTCTCTGGTTATTTTTACGCTTTTTTTGTTTTCCCGTCAAAAAAAAGTATTTATTAACAATCACTTTCATAAACTGATAGTATTAGTTAGAGATATTTGATAAATTGTTAACATTTTTTATTATAAAAAATTTTTTGATTATGTTGATTTAATTCAAGTTACTAAATTTGCTGAATACGGATAAAAAGGAAATATCATTTTATTTTACATTTGATTTTTGATAATGAAATTTTTAAAATGTCAGCAATTAGAACCTGTAATACCAATTAGAACCTGTTAAGGTTATAAAAAAAAAGTACAAGAATACACTAAACAATACAGTTGACAGTAGCATCAGATATGAAAATTCGTGAAAGGATATGTGAGATCCTGATTTTCCATTAAAAGTACAATTAATAGCAACACAAGTCGGCATTATAAATTTTGATTATAAGTTTACTGTTCAATATTTTATAACCATCAAATTAAAAACATGAAGATCGTATATTTGCGCCCGTTTTATACAACTTATATTTAACAAAAATACGGACAAATTATTATTAAATAACGCAATAATTAACACATTAATTAATGGCAATAATTTAAGATAGATGGTAATTTAAATTGTCAAAATTACATAACGTGCATTAAAAAATATATTATGTTTGGTATTTCCCAATTTGTGTCGTATTTAGCAATTGTCTCTTAACATGAAAAATTAAAAATTTTTAAAAACACAATTTACAAAATTTTTTAAGCAATTTTCTCTTCCAATTCTCATTTATTCAAAGAAAAGTTACTATTTAACTTTTATTTCTCTCATTTAAAAAAAGAAGAACGCAAAAAAAAAAAATTCTATACAACTCTTATTCATTCAACGTTTAATTACGCGAAACTTTACTTTCTCTTTGTACTTGTACTTCTCTTTTATAAAGAGAGCGCGCGATGAAATAAAAACTTTTATTTTTTAACATAAAATTATAAAATACTTTGAGATAAAATTAAATTACCAATGAGCAAAGCAACTAACAGATTAATCTAGTCCTATTTTGATATTAATAAAAATAATCAACGTAAACAACAATTACCAACAACAATTATCAAATAAGCAACACAACGTAAACAACAATTACCAACAACAATTATCAAATAAGCAACACAATATCCTATAACTTTAAGGGCATTTTATTTTGATTGCTCAGTCGTTCTAAATTATAAATAAATAAATTTAGTTCAAGTTAATATTTCAATATTTACAGTTGCAATATAATAAAGAATTGATGTTTAATGTTGAACTTTTTATTTAGTTATTTATTTTTTACCTACATTTGTTATAAAAAACTTTAGAACCCCCATCATTAAAATAATTTGTTTTAAATATATTTCGATGTGATTATTCAAACTAATTTTTTTCGTTTGCAACTTCATGCAAAGCAAATTGAAACGAAATATCCTCTAACCAAATAAAAATGCTGTTACTAATTTTATACGGGTAATTAATGTAAAACAATTTTTTCTCAGAGTCTTGATTGAGATAATAAATATTCATAATTTATAAACATTAAATATATGGCGCAATAACAATTTATAGCAATGAATCAGATAAAAAAATTTTTAATATCTTTTTAAATGTTAAAAATGAGAAGAAAATTACTTAACAAATAATGAAAAAAATTTCAAATAAAAATATATTAAAAAAATTCCAGAGTTTCATTTGTTAAAAGTTTACCATGACATCAAATACTAAAACTTTTATGAATTATACGCGCTTCAAAGGAATCGTCGAAGTCTGTAGATTGCGACGTATAATTTAAAGACTCTGAGTTATTGAATAAAATGGAGAAGGCGAGCTTTGGCTAAAACAACAACATTAGTTTTTTTCGGTTTGCATTAATTTTTTTTTTCAACATTATCTTTAATATGAACACAACATGTGTTGGGAGTTTGGGATCACTTTAAGAGAAACATTTTGACTTGTTTGTTGATGTTTTTAATTAATACTGTAATTACTTAATGTAATTACTTAATGTAATTACGTGAAAAAAATATTTTAGTAATATGTTAGTGACAAGTTTTAAAACAAAATTCATTATTCCAAATTTAATGATCTTATGTTTTAGTATAATTTAAAAGATAAGAACAACTTGTGATCATTAAATCGCACATCAAATATTTAACTGCAGTATAAAAAGTATAAAAATACAATAAAAAGGAATTTATGCAATACTGTAATGTTTCCATAAATAATTTACTTTTTTTTAAAAAAAAAAGCATATTAAGTAATACTATTAAACAATATAAGATTTTTGTTGAGCACAAAATTGTTAAAATATTCATTTTTATTATGTTTTGGCAAGGCCGACACTGTTAGAAAAAATGTTTTAAAAAAATAGAAATTCAATAAATAATTCATTAAACAAATTAGTTAAACAACAAATGAATTAAGTTTGTCTACAGTAAAAAAAAAACAAAACAAACAATTTATTTAAAAAAACAACAACACAAGAGCCGAAAGCCACTAGATTTTTGCCGCTCTGGCTCCACCAAAAAATAGTGGCTCCCCGGCTCAGCTCCACAAGCCTTGTTGGGTCAACATTTAGCCAATGTTTTTTTTCGGCGTACTATTTTCAATGCTACAAATCGGTTTTTTGCAATTATCGTACTACGTTGAGCCAACATTTGGCCAATATAGTTTAGGTTTAATATTTTGCTGTTCTTACATTTATTCCGTAGCCAATATTCGGCCAATGTAGTTGTGGATTAGTATATACTTTTGTTGCAAAACATTTTGTCAAATGGTATCGTTTGACAGAATAAAAAAAGGTTTTGATATTATCTTTCCATTCTTTTAAATTATAAAAATTTCCTTATAAGAAATTATAAGAGATTCTCGTGACTTAATGTTTTGTTTTTTTAAATAAAATATTTGTTAACATTTAAATAATTTGATTAAAACATTTTTTACTACAATCTAAATTATTAATGTAATAATAAAGGCAATAATCAAATTATTTTTGTATAAGATCTTAAAATTATTTTTTTTATTTTTATTGCTGTATGGGCATTTCAAATGTTTGATTTATTTAATAATCTTTATTAAATAAATGAAACATTTCAAATGTTTGATTTATTTAATAAAGAAGACATTTAAAATGTCTTCTTTATTAAATAAATCAAACATTTGAAATACCATACAGAATAAGTTTTTTTTTTCCATAATTTACTTATAATAGTTTAGATTATATAGCTATTATAAGATATACTATTAAAGGTATCAATAATGTATGTGGCATTGATGTTGTTAGAAGCTAATATTTTACATTTTAAATATGTCTCTTTTGTTTGATTTTTTCTGAGTTTGATTGTGAAACCCCATCTACTAACATATTAAAACAGTGTACAAAAAGTGATGTTACTAGAGTTTATATACTACTTATGTAGAGCTTTCTAATATTCCATCTTTCTGAGGCAGAGGGACATTATTCTTGGTTTTATTATTTTTTAATTTAATATCTCTGGATATTTTTCATTTACTTTTTATTTTTCAATTATTAATGATTTGATTTATAAATTTTTAAACCAATACAAGATTGAATTTAGCAGAAGGCTAAACTTCTGCTCTGGAGACAAAAAAGAAAGACAGCGAAAATGACCAACCAAAATAAAGATTAAAGAGACAAAAAATTGTGTATATCTTGGTGTAGATGATTTATCCTCAATTTCTTATAATAAAATAAAAAATATTATTAAACTTTGGGATTTATCTGTAACTCCAAACTCTTTACAGAAGTTCAATGTTTGCTCTGAGAAGTTGAATGAACAAAATTTATTAAATGGTAAGTTTTTATATAAAAGTCTTAATGTCTGATGATTGAAAATCTTTATTCATAGCTTTAATTTTTACAATTTTAAAGACTTTTTTATATATTACGGTCAAAAAGTTTGTTAATTAACATTTTATTGTGTAATAATAAACATATTAAAGCTTACACCACAGGCTTGGTCAGTAAGTGGGAGCGATCACTCTCGAATACTGACCACAGAAATTATAATTATAATTTAGTTAAGTTAGTTAAAAACTGGCCAGGTTTTTTAGTCTTTTTGAGAACATTTAAGTTTATGAACGTAACAAAAAATTTTTGTTGGATTTCAAAGTTGGTGTCACCAACTTTGAAAAAAAAAAAACAGAGTATTCATATCAGTTTAAAGTTTTATTAGTTGATGGTGGTTCATTATTATTCATTATATAAGCATTTATTTAAATTTATCTAATAGACAAAAGTAAAACAATATTTTTATAGATGATATTATTTTTAAAAAATGTATTAATAAAATTCAGAACTAAAATATGTAAAAAAAAAAAATTATTTACAAACATTGGACAAGGTCTGTACTGTACCTGGAAAATCTGGAAAATATGTTAACATTGGCCAAAGTTGTGGAAAACCTGGAAAAGTCAGGGAATTATTTATTTCTTTAGATAGTCATGGAAAAGTCAGTAATTCTAGTTAAGAAGTTACTCATTTCACAAATGAACGCTGTATTTTGAAAATGTGAAGAGTCACACTTTTTTTAAAAGTGAGGTTATTTGAAAAGAATATTTTTTTTTAAGGAAAGATAAAATTATAAGATAAAAAAAAGATTTTTTTTTGATAAAATAAAGATTTTTTTAGATAAAATAAAGATTTTTTTAGATAAAATAAAGATTTTTTTAGATGAAAGAAACAATTTTTAGATAAAATAAAAATAAATATTTTTGCAGGAGAAATGTTTTTGTTATGTTTGTTATGTTTCTTTTGGTGCTACCCATTTATTTTTTCTGAAATTTATGTTTTTCTTAGTGTTCATTCTTAGTCATCCTTAATAATAAGATCCATACTAACATGTATAATAAAATGCATACTAATATCCAACTTAACTAATAGCTAAGTTTTATAAGCTTTGTCATTCAAAGCATGTATAATCTTAGCATTTCCATTACAGTAGATCGTAATTTTAAACATTTTGTAAAAACCATTGTTAAAAATGGTCAGGGAAATTCATCTGATTTTTAAAAAAAGTCATTGAACTTTATATAAGTAGTTGGCTACAAACCCTGTTGGAGAAACATTGTTTTAATATGAATTTTTTTGATTTTCATTGCAATATGTATCTCAAACATTAACGAGAATTGTTTTGTGTCAGTTCCAGAAATTGAATGCACACATCAAAAGCAGTTATAAAAATTTGAGTAACAAAGGTATGCTAATTCAATACACCAGGTCCAGCATCCAGTATTAGAGGTTATAAACATCGTGTTGAATCAGAGTTAGTTAAAAATTGTTTAAGTAGACAACACTTTTTTACAAACAGGGTTGTCTTTGGATGGAATAATTTACCGGAATCAGTAGTGGAGTCTACATCAGTCAAAGAATTTAAATCCAGACTTGAGCTGATTGACTTGCAGATAATACTGAACAAGAAAAACAGATTGCAATTAAATTTTTAGACAACTATTGTGTTGGCTGTCATAGATATTGCCTGGCGCTTTATCTCAACAGCATTTGAATTATTATTATTATTATTATTATTATTATTATTATTATTATTATTATTAATTATTATTATTAATTATTGTATTGCCTGAAAGAGTGTCATTGCCATTAAAAGCAGGGAAGAATTCAAGTACTCTGGAAGAATAAAAGACAAGAAATTACTTAAGTAAATGGTAAATATTTTTTTATGATTTGTTTATGCATTTTGTATGATATCTTAGTACAGTTAATATACTTTAAACAAAATACTCTTTGAAGATTTTTTGTGAATGACATTTTATATTAATTTAAGTCTAAACAAAAGTTACTTTAATTATTGCAAGGTTGTGTATTTTTGCAGGTCAATTATTTGGCACAAATTGCTTGGAGTTAAAGACAAAGGAGATTGTATATGTTATTTACTAAGAATAGTTTTTTAAAATGGTCTAGCTGTAAAATTAAACTATGCAGGGAGAGGACAAAAAACTGGAATAGGAAAAATGTTGATTGTATATGCTGCTATTGGTAAGTGGTTTAAAAAAGTTTATTTTTTCAGTTTCAATTTTGCATTACAGAATTACTTTCGATTTGTTATGTTTCTTTGGTGCATAATTAAACAAACAACTATTTTTTTTTTGCAGAAACTGTGAAGTCGAATAAGCATGTTTTATGCAGACATGTGATAGAGATAGTGGAACAAAAAATAATAATCGTGGGCACCAAACATCATAAGCTAAACACGATTCAATAACAAGTAGCTCAGCCAATATCAAAACCACTCTATAAATTTTATAGTGATTTTTTTTATTTAAAACTCAATGTGTTTTGGTTTAAGTTTGGTGTTTGCAATATGTATATATAACTGAGAAATTATGTTTTTATACTTGTATCATATATTCTTTTTTTCTCTATAAATTTTCAATGTAGCGATGCAAATCATCTTATTTGTAACAACGATCTAATGTTGCATAAATTTTAGGCCGATATATAACATACGATATTGGGCCAATGTTGTATACAACATTAGACCAATTTTGTATACAACGTTGGGCCAATGTTGTATACAACGTTGGGCCAATGTTGTATACAACGTTGGGCCAATGTTGTATACAACATTGGTCTATTTTTATATACAACGTTAGGCCAATGTTGGATAAACATTGTATACAACATTGAGCCAATGTCAACTTTCAACGTTGGGCCAATGCATCATCATGCATTCGCCCAACGTTGGTCCAATTTAAGCTTGTTGTCTGGGATATATATATATATATATATATGTATATATATATATATATATATATATATATATATATATATATATATATATATATATATATATATATATATTGGATACAGCAAAGCATTTTAACAACAACAACAAAAACACAAACCTCTACAGAACCATTAGATAACCCAACAGCTAAATAAAGGCCTTCCTGTATCCACTTTACACATGCTACAACTAGATCTTCTTCACCAGCATGAACATCACCAAACAGTTCATCAACAGCTCCTGTTTCAGCATTCCATAAATAAACTGTTTGTGATAAAGGAACAGCAATTAAACCACAATTTCCCCAATCCAGCAAATTTAAATCTTAATGTAAACAAATAAATAACATATAAATAAATAAACAACAAACAATTAATAATAAATAAATAAACAACAATAAAGAAAACTCATACAGTAATCGTCAAGAATATATGGGGCATCAAGAATTTTGTCTGAAGTTGCAGGAATGTGTCTAGTAGATTTGGACTTTGCTGGTGTAGGTTTACTTTTTGTGTACAAGGTCTTCATATGGATCTCACCTAAACAGGTTAAACAACTCAAGTTAATTTTTTTAAGGACTTTCAAAAATTGAGATTCTAATATCAAATTTTTACATAACAGTCAAACTTTACTCTTGGTCTGCTATAGCCATTTCTACATTTTGCTAGATGTAAAGATATACTATTAGACATATCAGTAGACATAAAAACATATCAGTAGATATAAAAACATATCAATAGATGAAAAAACATACCATAAGATGTAAAAACATATCAGTAATGTATTATTCAGTATATTTTATTCATGTAAAAAAATCTCAAGAATGATAATCAGTAAAAACATATTAGTAAAGTATGATTTAGTTTATTTTATTCATAAAATCTGATTGTACTTACACAATTTTATTTTATGATAAAATGTTATAAAATTTTAAAGTTATAAAATTTTATCATAAAATGTTATAAAATTTTAAAGGTTAATGCATATTTAAAAAAAAATTTACAAAAAATTAACTTTTATAAAAAGGGATTTTTTTAGGAGCATTCACTATAAACATAAGTTATTAAAAAAAAATTTTCCCCCCATCAAACATTTAAAAATTATTTATGCAATTATTTCTCTTAATAAAAGTTTTTATTTTATTCCAAAACACATAATTCTTTTAAGAGCCGTTTTCTGATAAAACCAGGCAAATGTATTGTTAGCTCAAAAGTGATATCCTTTAACCGCGCTGAATTTTTATACAGTAATACTGATATGGTAAAAGAGAAGCCTGTAAATTTTTTTTTTCAAAACATTTATAATTTCTGGGTTATGGTCAGTCAAACTTTTCCCCGTTTTATACTTGAAAAGTCACCTTTGGGGTTTTATGATTTTTAAACTCACATTAAAAGCAATGAGACCACTGCACCCTAAGTTTCTTTTCATATTATGGAAGTATAGGTAGAACTTTAAATAAAAAAACCAAAAAACCTGAGGACAACTCTTGCCTTTGTCTAAAAATCATAAGCTAAAATCATAAGCTGAAATCACACATTTTTGAATTTAAGGCCTATTTTAAATACATTTATCTCGGAACCTAAAAGGTACCCGCAACTTATCTTATGCTTTTTGGAAAGAGTATTCCATTGTTATTTGAATGGTCTAACGAAACTGAGAGGATATTGTTTACAAAAAAAGTTATGAGTCATCAAAGTGTCAGAAAATGTTTTAACGAGAGTAAATATAAAATTATTACCTTGATCTCTTCTTCTTCTTCGTTATCCATAATAGTACTACCAACGTCAAATGGTTCTCTCAATCTTTTGTCTTTTTTTAGCCTGCTCCAACGTGAAAAAAGTGATTTTATTTGCTGAGTTGTTACGTATTCTGAGACTTGGAGCTCTTTTTTTATTAAAAGGTGCACCTGCTCTGGACTTGACTTTTTTTCTGATACTTCACCTTCCATAAAGAGTTTATGTAATATATCTTTTTGTCTCATACTATATCAGAAGGTACTGCGTGTAGGTTAAGCCCAACCTTTAGCATATTTGCTAATGTCAGAGCATACTTCTTCAAATACCTCCTGTTGTGAGTTTGGTTTATAACTATGTAAGTTCGACTGAACTTGCATCATCATTATGAAACTCTGTCTCACGTTATCTATTCCTGATTTTAAAGTGCTGATATTGTGCCTTCCTGATATCATATGTTCTTCTAGTTCTTCTGATGTATGGAATGATTTATTACAAATTGGCTCAGAGCAAAAGTGAAACAAAGTTAGTGATCTATCTTTGCGAAATTTTTCCTTTATATTATCTTTAAAACCTCGTGTTTTCTTGTCAGTATCACTATATGATTGTGTTAAAAACATTTGCAAATCAAAATTGACATTAGAATATTCTTGAATAACTCCATCGCCAACTGCATAGTATCGCCACATTATCATATAGTTTTGAAAAAACTCAAACGAATGGTACTGACTTATTTTAGCTATTTTTGTTCCACTCAACTTGCTTTTGCTCTTTATAGTGGCAACACCAACAGCAGAATTTTTCATCCCATGGCCGTAATGTAAAGCAGTATAAATGTCCTCTGCACACATTAAATCGTTACCAGCATCAACAAAGCTGCGAATCAATGACTTTGCTCTGTCGCACTGATCCTTGCCACGACAAGGTTCGTTATAATCGTAGCGCTTAAGCTGTATTTGGTTATTTTGCACAACATAAAAAGAGCTTCCATTATAAAGTTTCCATGATACGATAAAGCATATTCAGATTTTGCATAGAGTTTATTAACACCAAAATGTTCATGCTTAAACTTTGGAAGAACTAATTGGGCAATTGATAGTGTTTCCGATAAACTTTGCTCACACCTATAAAGAGCTGTAAAATACACCTTTTTCTGTAAAACATTGTTTTTCTTAGTAAAGAAAATGTCTACATGCAGTGACATCCCCTTTTTTCAAAATATTCCTTTTGACCTTCCCTGAATTTGGATGGTAGGACTTTTTGGCAATAGTCTTTCAACCAAAATCCAGATTCCTCATCAAGATTTTAAAAAGCAAAAACTTTGGCTTTTTTTTGTTGAAAATCACACATTTTTTCAATATTTTTTATAATCAATGATATCTTTTTCAGCAATTTCAATATCATAAATAGTATCCTCGTCGGCTGAATTATTTAATGCTTATCTTTTTAGTTCAACTAAGGATTTGCTTAAACTTTCACACTCATAACAAATCTTATCATTGGGTGCTATTGAAATCTTTTGTTGGTTAAATCACTCAAAGCAAATATTGGCCAGTGGGAGATAGAATTAGGGTAGGTCGCACTGCAGTTAAACTGGAAACTAGTTTTGTAATATTGTTTGCTACATTTAAACATATTACTTAGCTCTCTATCCTTGTACTTCAAAGATAAATCTTGCATCATAGAGAAACCATTCATACCTGCAGCAGTAATATCATCCAGTCCCGCTAAACATTTTTGTTGAGATGGTTTAACAGCATGAAGTATTCGCCACAAACTGATTTCCAAAAAAGGAGAGTAAGTCTCATTTCTGCAAACTTCATTATAAAATGCAATTGTATGACTCATTTTAGCTGTCAAAACTTGACGAGATATTTTATATACATCATTCCAGTCTAATTTAATTTTTGTAACTCCATATGCAACATCTTGAAGAAGGCCGCTGTTAAATATGAAATCAAGGAAATGTTCAGCTTTTTTCTGGTCTAGTCTATTTCGCGTAATTTCTTTTTCGACAGAAATAATTATACCTATGTTTGCATTCTTTATTTTTCGTACCTGGTCTATCTTGTATTTGGAGCATCCATAAACTTTCATTAGCAACTTCTTAGTAAATTTTTCATGTTCAATCAAACACAAAACAATATGTTTTCCCATAGAGTCACTTTCTTCATAAATTTCAACCAATTTTTTTAGTTTATCAGGTACTATATCATTGTCTGAAGCTTCGAAAGATCTTTTTAAAACAATTGAGTTAAAGTCTTCACTCTGATCTGGGGCAACAGCTTTGGCGAACCTCTTTTCAAGCTGTACCTTGGCTCTTTCAAATTTTCTTCGTAAATAATTTTTTGTTCCATTGCTGAGATCAGATATCTTTTTGTTCTTTATCTGAAACTGAAAAGGGCTGATGTGGAGTGCTTCTGATAGGCTGTTACCAGTAAATGTAGCATCTTCAACTTTTTCTCGAGAAAGTAAAATTTCTTCAGGCTTAAAATCAAAATCAGTTGTGTCTTCAACTAGCTCTTTGTTAGCGGCAGTACTTGTTTTAGTTTGATTTAGAATGAGCTCTGACTTTAGGTGGTTGTTACAAAATACGGAACCTACTGGAACACTTTTGTTGTAATGTTTTGAAACATTTGTTGACATATTTATTGAAATACTTCTTACAGCAGATGATTTTTTACCAACACTTAATTGATGCATTGGGTGACAGCATCTTCTTGGAGGAACCCGACCAATACCTTGAATTTTAACAAAAATCAAAATTTGAAATATTTATTTTAAAGGTTTAGTAGTTTATTTTTTTATTTTTTTTTTGAAATAAGGTTGTAAACAAATTCTTACCAAAGTTAAATCTATGGTAAGGGCATATATAATTGTTATCAGAAATTGATATGCACCCTTGGTTTTCTATAAGTGACTTTTCTGTCCATTCCGTCTCTTGATGTCTCTTTAAAAATGTTGTTGTAAATATTATGCAAAGTTTTTTTTACAACTGCTAAGAGCATTTCTTACTTTAATTTTTACAAAGTGTGCTTTGACATCCAATATCAGATCTTGTATCTTGAATAACCTTTGTTCATTTAAACGAGGATATGATCCACACTTGACATCATTAACTTTGCAAACATTTTCAACAACAACCTCTAGCTCTGACATATTTTTTGCAACTAAGTGTTTTTTTTTTAAAGTGTATTTAACATAAAATGCTCATTCTCTATTCTGAATAATTCAGAAGTAAATGCTCAATAAAACATACTGAATAACTGTATCATCAAGAAATAATGCCTAACAATAATTAATTATGTTCAAATAAACATCAAGTCAAAAATCTTTATTAGAAGAAAAATAATCCATAATGATAATAATAACAAAATGATGCTTTTTTCGGTGTAGTTAAGGCGATTTACAAAATATTTAAATTCTTTTATTTGGAATTAGCGTGGTTTTATCAGCATTTTATGTCCAAACAAGATCTTTAAATGTTATAATTTCTTTTGCTCCAGGTTTTTATAATATTTAAATATTATAAAAACCCTTTTTTTTATATAATTTTCAAAATCTTTTTACTACCCAATATAATGCATCTAAAGAAGACTATTTTGGAGTCTTAAGATCAATTCCGCTCATCGGCATTAACATGAATTTAGTTAAAATCTTTTTAAAAAGTTTCTTTATTTACTACTGATTCTAGTTGTAATCGGTTCTGACGTATATTAACTATATATAGTTGTCTAAACACACTATTTCCATCAATTTTCACAAAAAATACTGGAATTCCGACCAAGAAAGAGCTTATAATTATGGAAAATTGCCAATAAACGATCAAAACAGAGCATAATGTTAAACTATAATGTTCATTTCACCTAAAAAACATATTAATATAAAAGCTTATTTAAATTTGGACGAGCGATAGTGATTTTAAGATGTTTTTTTAAAAAAAAAAAGATTCCACGGTCTGGGTTTTTTTGCTACAAACATTTATATTTTAAGATACCGCAAAATTTATTATTTTAATTTTTTTCATCTTTTCATAATTCACAGACCAGACCATTTAACGGAAACATGCCGTAGTCAACAAAATATTATACAGACGCTATAATATTTTAAAAGTCCTTCTATTATTACTGACGTTTCGATGAGGATCAGCATTTATAACTAGTTTATCCCGTCAGACAAACGTCATCGCCACTTATGCTTTACCCCGCGACTTACGCCTATTCCATACTGCAGTAAAAAAGGACTCATTACAAATAGCCAAAACCCAACCAACCCCAAATTTGTAAAGCACCAATATTTTTTTTGATGATATGATAAAAAGTATAGATTTACTGAACAAACAAAAATAAAAATAAAAATAACTAAATAAAACACTTCCATACTACATAATAAAGCCTTCCATACTACACCGAGTAATCTGATTTTTTTAAATAATAATTATTTTAAAAAATCAGATTAAGCATCATTTTGACGTAAAGTTATTTCAACAATGCAATATTACCCCCTAAGTTTTTTTTTTTTGCATCAAATAAAATGCAATATGTAGTAAAATAAAATATGTATCCTCATTCTTAGGACCTTTCTCATTTTCCATAATGGCTGATATTTGAACGCTAGTTAAAACATTTTCTGACACTTTGATGACTCATAACTTTTTTTGTAAACAATATCCTCTCAGTTTCGTTAGAACATTCAAATAACAATGGAATACTTTTTCCAAAAAGAATAAGATAAGTTGCGAGTACCTTTTAGTTTCCGAGATAAATGTATTTAAAATAGGCCCCAAATTCAAAAATGTGTGATTTCAGCTTATGATTTTTAGACAAAGGCAAGAGTTGTCCTTAGGTTTTTTGGTTTTTTTTATTTAAAGTTCTACCTATACTTCCATAATATAAAAAGAAACTTAGGGTGCAGTGATCTCATTGCTTTTAATCTAAGTTTGAAAGTCATAAAACCCCAAAAGTGACTTTTCAAGTATAAAACAGGGAAAAGTTTGACCAACCATAACTTAGAAATTATAAATATTTTGAAAATAAAAATTTACAGGCTTCTTTTTAATATTACAAACAACACAATATGTAAAATTGAGAATGATTGAAAGATATCACTTTTGAGCATTGCCTGGTTTTCTCAGAAAATGGCTCTTAAGTAGTAAATAATGCCGAATAACTAATATTAAAAAATTTAAAAAAAAAAAAAATTATATCTTTATATTCATACTATCTACTATTTACTAGGGTTGTTAAACGGAGGATTTTGTACAAGGAATTACATTTTTATCGTACTGAATATTACAAAATTGCCGATGTTCATTTCGTAAATGCTGCTTCTGAAAATATGTCCTTTTTGCAAGTTGACATACAAAATAAAACTATTTTGCAACATACGAAAGTAGCAGTTTCAGAACATGCACTTGCAAAACAAACACTTTTACCAAACAACATTTTGAAGTCTATAATGAAGGTTTGTTTGCCGGACTGATTTTTATTGACATCTTTAAATCCCAAAATGTTTATAATGAATTTTTATTTTCAGTATAATAACATATTAAGTTTTTATAGTTTTATTTTAAAAAATAATGATAAAAAACAAAATTTCTCTTGAAAGGAAACTATTTTGCACCACAACATAAAAAAGAGTTATTAACGGAAACAAACTTATGAAACATATTTAATGATGTTTTATGAACTCATTACATATAATTAACAACTAAGTAACAAAAATGCTAATTATTATATGATATTGAAAAGCATCAGTTGCAAACTTTTATAAATAAACCTAGGTTTTCATGAAATATACTTTTTTTAATGGCATCGTTTGCATTTTTTTCGTAACTGCACATTCCGGAATGCTCCTTTCATAAGAAACTATTTCGTAAGTATTCTTACAAAATGATTTGTTATGCAAGTTTTCTTTTGTAATGCGCTATTACCGATTTTATCTATTTATATTTTTGTATAGTGTGTTACAGAATGTACATTTTTGCATGTGCAACTTCCGCAAAAACAATTCTATTACGGTAGATAAAGATGCAAAATTTTCGCAAGTTTTGTTTTTTGGCGAACAACCCTACTATTTACATAACTTTTACTGTTTACTATTTACATATTTTTTACTATTTACATATTTTTTACTATTTACATATTTTTTACTATTTACATATTTTCAATTTTGTTAGATACAAATAAAAAACCTGCAGCAGTAAAGATAAAAATGTAAACTAAAGAAAACTGTTGATCGTAATGAATGAGGTTTTTAAAAGTTACAAATAATCAAACTGAAATGATGATGATAATTGAATAAAAAAATTCTTCAGAAAAGAAAAACTAACTTCAATTTGAATAATACAAGCAAAAATCTAAAAAAATGAAAAATTGACAACTCAGCAAATAAAATGCAAAACTAAATCCCTCAACTTAAAACAAAAGGTTTTAAAACAAGACTAAAAAGTTGTAATTTGAAACTTAAAAAAATGAGATCTAATCTAACTAATCAAATAAACTTAATTAACTTGCCTTCTTTGCACACTGGTGGTTTTATTTTCATCTGAAGAATTCGAGTCCCGTTGTTGTCAGCTGTTCCTAAACTTTGCTTCATCATTTCTGATAATTCATTATTTTCAGAATCATTTTCATTATCATTTTTCATAAACATGTGGTGCCCAATCTAAATTTAAAAATTTTCATTTGTTATTTTTCATAAACATGTGGTGCCCAATCTAAATTTAAAAATTTAAATTTTTAAATTTAGATGATTGTATTTAAAAAAATAAATAAATAAATAAAAATTATTTACAATAAATAAATAAATAATTTATTTATTTATTTTTCACAATTTAGTTTTATTTTGTGCATTTTATTCAATTAAAATAAATTAATAAAAATCATTTATATTTTTATGATGTTTCCTATAACTTATTACTTTCACTTATGTAAACTTAAGTTTTGTGTTACTTTTACACAAACTACTATGATTGTATTTTTAGGTTACATGAAAGTTACAAAATAATCTATGTTTAGAATTACACTCGTGGAAAAAATTGTGGACACACTTAGCATTTTTTGTTCAAGAAGCAGATGGCTTTGGCTGGGGGTATATTTTAATAAATTATTTATTCGGAAATCAGTATATTTGGGTGAAAATTAATTGGATATGATTGTATACATTAGTAACAGATTATTTTTTTGATTATTTTCACAACATTTGATATTTCTTGCAAATTCCATCGCATTCTACCATTGTACTCTACAGTAAGTATAAAGCTATAAATTTTATTTAGTTAAGTATTTATATAAAAATTAAGTATTTAAATTAAAAAAAAGTATTTAGATAAAAAAAATAAAAGAATAAAAGTGCAATGTTAATTTACCTTAATTTCGCTCACATTTACTGGAATTTTTTTTGTTACATGGTAATATCTTATTTCAATTTTATGAAAAGATCTTTATAATACCTTTTTAATATAAAATCTTTAACATATAAGCAATTAAGACAGCAATATTCACATTTGTAATAGATTTCAACAATGAAAAATGTTAAAAAGATTGATTGGTCACCTAAAAAAAGAGCAACTGCAATCACACTGCAAAAAGAGGGCTATAGTTATAGAGCAATTGCAGACAAAAGTGAAAGTGGTGTGACTGCCTCTGGGGTATGATTGTATGAGCATTTCAAAGAGACTGGCAGCATTGAGAACAAACATGGAAAGGGAAGAAAAAAAGGAACAACACCTAGAACTGACAGAATGACATCAAGACAAGCACTACGAAACAGTAGAATAACTGCAAAGGAAATTAAATGCTCTCTTAAAGTTGCACAAATATCTGTTAGTGACAGAACTGTTTGTCAGCCATTGGTGGATGCAGATTTGAAAGCTCAAATTTCAAGGAAAAAACTGCCATTTAGAGAAAAAAGAGAATGGAATGGGCTAAAGTTCATGCAACATGGACAGTTGATCAGTGGAAAAAAGTCATCTGAAATGATGAGACACAAATCTCAATTTTTGATAATGACAACACTGGTTATGTTCGCCGAAGAACAGGTGAAACTTACCATCCTGAGTGCTTGATACCAACAATGAAACACCCCATGGGAGTGATGATATGGGGACGTATGGCATATAATGGAGTAGGACGATTTAAAGTCGTTAATGGAACAGTAAGCGCTCCAAAATATATCAAGGACATTATTGAACCTTCATTGATTCCATCTGCTCGCACACTTTTTGGTAATGGCATTGATTTTATCTTCCAGCAAGATGGAGCACCATGCCATACAACTCGAACAAGTATGAAATGTTTTGAAACTCACAATATTGAAGTTTTGTCATGGCCTGGAAATAGCCCCAATTTGAACCCAATCGAAAATCTATGGTGAAGACTAAAGCGCATGGTTGAAGCCAAACATCCCAGTAATAAGCAGGAACTTATTGAGGCAATAAATAATTCTTGGTACCAACTAATTACTGCAGAAGATTTAAAAAGACTTGTGGATTCCATGCCAAGAAGGTGTCAAGCAGTTATTGCTTCAAAGGGATATCCCACACGTTATTAAACTTGTCAGTGCTAAAATAACTGATGCTTACAATGTGATAATAAGAATATTTTTAATATGGTGCTATATGCTGATCTGACCATAAAGTTTTGTACTATTTAATGAACATTTAATAGAAAATAACAATTCTTTGGTGCAGTTTTTGATAACTTTTTACTTGAATTTTATTTTATAAATTTTTTGAGTGCATTAACTAGTATTTTTTTGCTTAATTATTTATTTTGTAATAAATCCATGTGAGTGTCCACAATTTTGTCCGCAAGTGTAATTATTTCTAAAGTACAAACTGTTTGAAAATATTTACATTTAAATAATAAAAAATAAATTTGTTTATATTATTTACTAAAACATTGTATAATATTAATAAAACTCACTTAAATTTATGTAATTAAACAAACAAACAAAAAAAAAGTAATTTTCTTTTTAAAAACGTGGGGTTTTTATATTCTTATTCAAATTATTTTTATTATTATTATTATTATTATTATTATTATTATTATTATTATTATTATTATTATTATTATTATTATTATTATTATTATTATTATTATTATTATTATTATTATTATTATTATTATCTAAAGAGTGCAGTCTTGAGAAGAAAGAAAATAATAAAAAACCAAAAGAAAGGTGATAGAGTGAAGTGTCACTAAACTAAAGCACATAAAAGAATATTCAAAGAATTCAAACTTGATTTACTTGATAAATAAGTGAATTGATGCACAAGTATTCCTTTAAGCCAAGTATGCAACTATTGGAGTCTTTGCGAATCAAAGAATAGTACCCATCAATACTGAGACTGAATATGGAGCAGCTAAATTAAAATTAGTCTCACAAAGAGCAAGCAAGTCTGGTGATTTTTGTGAGATAAGTTTCAACTGATAGAAAATTACTTTAAAGACGACACATTTTGTAAAGCATATATTGAAACAGCTAGGGGGTGGGGATGGTTTTTATGTTCACTATTTTGGATTAATTTGATTTTGACATGATTTAATTTTAACGATTTATATTATTATTTTTTGTAATTTTTTTTTTTATATTTATTAATGAACTTCACCTGATTGAAGTTCTGCTGGATGTAAATCAACTTCTCAACAGACTCGGGTTGAAGTATTGTTCATTAATTGTAACAATTTGCCCGCCTGATGAGAAGATTCTTTCAGAGGTGGTAGAGGAAATGGGTATGCACAACCAATATAATTGAAATATATCCTCAGGGTTTTCACTTCTAAAACTGGGACTAAAATTAAGGATTTTAAGAAGATTTAAGGAGATATCTTCCTAATATTTAAAGAGATTTGATTGCAAACGACAATTTTTTGAAGGAAAAAGTAAGGAGAATTAAGGAGCAACATATACATTAAAAACAGAATCTTTTTCAATAAATTTTTAATATGAATAGATTAACTATTATATATAGATATATATGAAAATACATATATATATATATATATATATATATATATATATATATATATATATATATATATATATATATATATATATATATATATATATATATATATATATATATATATATATATATCTTCAATAATTTTTCTTTTTGCTTCCATTTTCACTGTTTTTTCTACAGACAGGGCTTTTAAATGTTGATCATCAAAATACTTCTTTCTTGCTTGTTTGTGGTAATCTAATAAATCTTTTGTAATTTAACTTCATGAGCTATGAACCCATGAATTATGAGGTAATTTTGGATTGAACGTAAAGAAATAATTGTGTCTGGGGATATATTGCCATCGATCAGACTTGTATTGCTGCTAAATCCTCGTTCAACTTGAGCTTGTCTGTTCAATAAAATGAAGACAATTTTAAAAATAAGCTGTAGATTTGCATACATCTTTAAATCAGTATATTTCCACAAAAAGCAGTCCAAACGATCCTTATCTTTATCAAAAGTCAAAAATACTTCTTTGTTATCAACAACCAAACTTTTACAGAATCTGGAATATTCATTCTTATCTAAATCACCAACAGAAGCTTTAATTTTCTTGTGAGTAACAAGCTTCATCAACAGCTGGTCAAAAAAATAGTCACACTTTTCTGGATATTCAACCATAAATGATGGGGAAATACACACCAGACAGCAAGCAACAAATGAAGACAAAGGGTTTTTCTTAATAATATGAGTACACATTGAGACAAGAAAATCACATATTTCCTTTTCAAACTTGTCAATTTGAACACCAGTAATTTTTCCCTTACTCTTAAGTTGCTGGAGATCATACTTCAATGAAAAACCAACATCAATTTGGCTAGTTGAAAGCTGGTTCGTACAATTAAATAGATCTATTTTTAACAGAGACGTTTTAGTTTTGGCATTTGAAAGAACATCTAATCAAATGAATTTTGCATAAAAGTTGCGTAGTAGTTCTTCAAGTGTCAAGAATGAAAAAAAACTTTTTGTGATTGTCTTCAAATAGCAAGATTGAAAAAAACTTTTTGTGATTTTGTCGCAAAATTTTAAAAATAATATGAAAAGAATATCTCAGAATATTTTTATACTTTTGTAATAAAACAAAATATATTATATAAAGAGCAATAAAAATGTATCTGGATCAAATATTACATACCAAGGAATGTATTTAGACTGCCACTAATCTCTTCAAAAAACTTCAACTTTAAAGGAACTAAAATTTCATTTGTTCGAGCACTTATATGTTCAAAGCTGGTGTTTTGTCCTAATTTACCAAATCCAGGTTGCTTACTTTTTAGTAAAGACTTCCAGTAGTCAACAACTATTACTACTTTTGACCAAACCTCAATTGCTTTCATGGCAACCCTTTGAATTTCAGCCCATCAAGTACCACAAAAAATGTTATAAAAATCTGAACTTGTTGCCTCAGCTATTCTTTCATAATCACTTGCTTTTGATGGACTTTCATGAAACATTTGGTACATTGAAGACATTAACTTCTTTAGGTTCCAATCAGTAGCTTTAGCACCAGTTTGTAAGGATCCATCGATAGTATGTAATCCACATTTAAACATTTTTAGAATATCTGGGGTTGCAGCTTTTCTCATAAACTCTGAAATATAATATCTTGTATAAACAGTATTACTCTCTTCATTCCAATATCGCACATGTAAGTCCATTTGACCTTTGTTTACAACTTTATTGTAAGACTCATCAAAAAGACAGCAGATTAAGATCTTTTTTGGGGCAAGACCATGGTTACAACCATGTAAAGACCATGACCATGACCAAGACCATGGGTTACAACAAAAAAGCAAAACAAAAAAGCCAGATTTTGTTCGACCACAGGAAAAGTTGCTGGCAATTTTGCTATGCGGAAACATCGAAGCAAATTGTTTAGACTTATTCTCACTTGATCTAAAAGAGTATTTGCTTTGAACAAAATCTAAACACCAAATTAATTCTGCTTTCAAAATTGCTTCCTTTTGAAGCATATCTGAAATGATAAATAACAAAAGTATAGGATTTTAACTCATCAAAGATGTAACTAAGTAACTATATGCTTATCTATAGATAAGTATAATCCATTTGTTTTAATAAAATTTCCTAGATGATAAAAAAAAAAAAAAAAGAAAGTAAGGAGAGATTAAAGAGAGCAGTCAAATTTTAACTTTTTTTAAGGTTATTTAAGGACTTTTAAGGAGTTTTTTTTTTTTAAGATTTTTAAGGAGTGGGAACCCTGATCCTTATTATTATTCTACTATTTAATGCATTGCACAACTTGTCTGTTTTTAATCTATTCATAAAGAAAGTGTCCCATTTTATCTTAGTATCTCTCTTGCACTCCAAATTTAATTAAAATTTTTCATTAAATTTAGTATATCATAAGAATTTGAGGTTTTTTAATAAAATCTCATTTTGAAGCTAAATCAGGTTTTTTATTTATTGTTATAATAAGATGGCAACAGTAAATTAAAAAATGTTTTCCAAATGTTTTTCGAAACAATAAATTGTCATGTTTCATTTCTTCATCTTGCTAAAATTTACCGTTTAGTTCCAAAATGCAACAGCTTGGCAAAAAAAAAAAAAAAAATTTTTTAAACTAGTTGGATGTAGATGGCACAATTTTTATTTTTTTAATCATTATCTAAAAATAGAGAAGAAAAGAATGTGGTTCATATTTATGAAAAAATTACACTTTTGCGTTTACGGGAGCTGCAAATTGCTCCCATAAACTACATTAGGAGATTATGGACCAGGGCAAAAGATAAACCTCTCGCTTCTTGCCAAAGCCTGTATTAAATATATGTGTGTGTGTGTGTGTGTGTGTGTGTGTGTGTGTGTGTGTGTGTGTGTGTGTGTGTGTGCGTGAGTATGTGTGTGTGTCTATATATATATATATATGTATATATATATATATATATATATATATATATATATATATATATATATATATATATATATAAATTGTAGGAATTATGTTAGTATTTCCAGTAAGAGTGCCGTAAGAGTGAATACACCATGTTATATAATTAGTAGAGCAAAAAATATAGTAAAAACTAAACAATTATTATTTCAATTACATAAGTAAAAGTTTCACGCAAAAGTGATCATCAGATGTAACAACGACAAAAAAGTAACAACAAAAATTATATACAAAAAAATTTTTAAAGACTTTTAATCTTGACATCACTATCAAACTAAACTTAAAAACTGTAAATTTTCTTGATTTATATCGATCACATTCAAACTTTCTGAGACATACAATCACATTTAAACTTTCTGAGAACTCTTTTAAACCTTATAGAAAACCATGAGATAATCCTTTATATATTAACATCAATCCCAATCATTTACCAAGCATTATTAAATCGATACCAAAAATGATCTCTAAAAGTCACCAAGCAGAAAGATATTATTACATTGGGCCCACTGAGAAAACTTTTAACGACAGGTAGTATAAACGTAAAAACTCTTTTGTTTATGAAAGTAAGGACAACTCCACTGAACTTTCGAAATTTGTGTGGGAATGCAAAAATAAAGCTATAGAACCTATATTAAAATGGAATATTCTCGATCAAGCCGAGCCATTCAAACCTGGTGGTAAATTTTGCAATTTATGCTTGACAGAAAAATACCACATTAAATCACCATTAAATTTACTTAATAAACAAACCAAGCTTTATAACACACAATATTTATTTATCATTTAAGTTATTACTTATAATTTAAACTTGATTTTATGCAATAATAAGTAAACATAAACTATTTTTAAATTTAAAGACATTTTAAACTGATAAAATCTTCATGTCTAAAAAATATGAACAAAATATTTCCAATTTATTTGTGTTAGCATTAATTAGTATAATACACAGTAGTTTAAACTGAAAGGTTAGTCTTTTTTGTTCAAAAGATAATTTAAAATTATCCAAACATTTTATAAAAATTATTTTGTCTTTTTATACTAAACATTTTCTGAATTTTAGTTATTAATACCTTAATAATTATGCGGTAGTGGTGTAGTGGTAGAGCGCTCGCTTCATAAATGAGTGGTTCTGAGTTCGACCCCCACCACATCCCTGGTAGTACCGCGCTCAACTTGTTTCTCCGCGCAGCGGCCTTGTTCATCAAGGTTTGTGTTTCGGAGTTATAGAGTTGAGAGAGGGTTATAACCACAAATAAGTAGCCTCCTCGTCTGTAGTGGCCTTCTCGGCCTTGAGGAGGTGAATTAAATTAAAAAAAAATATATATATATACCATGTTTAATACCTATTAACAAAAATACCTTAAGTATTAACTTTTAAACTAGCCTATTTTTAAAAAAAAACCATGATTTTAAAATATAATTATTAAAATAATTAAAAAAAAAATTCATTGTAAAAAAACCCTAATTTTAAAAACTAATTACTTGAGGGTCCATCAAAGCTCGATTTGAAATAAACCGATCATAACCAGTTCCTTCATTATTAGTGCATTTTCTTCTATAACCAGGTGATCGTGAAGGTGTATCATATTTAGGGTCTTTTAATCTACGACAAGGAGTTCGAGAAGATGCTGTTTCATTTGATATGGGCGATAGAGGTTCTCTTGTGCAACCTTTTAAAAATGATTTTCGATCAGCCATAAGATTTTCTTTTTGAAAGATTTATGATCTAAAACAGTTATTAAATGAAAAAATTATTTATTATTATTATTATTATTATATATATATATATATATATATATATATATATATATATATATATATATATATATATATATATATATGCATACTTGTTTAATAAATAATATATATAATATAATAATAATTATGATAATAATAATATATATACATACTATTATTATTATTATTATTATTATTATTATTATTATTATTATTATATATATATATATATATATATATATATATATATATATATATAAATATATATATATATAAATATATATATATATATACATATATATATATATACATATATATACATATATACGTATATATATATATATATATATATATATATATATATACATATATATATATATATATATACATATATACATATATATATATATATATATATATTTATATATATATATATATATATATATATACATATATATATATATACATATATATACATATATACGTATATATATATATATATATATATATATATATATATATATATATATATATATATATATATATATATATATATATATATATATATATATATATATATATATATATATATATATATATATATATATATATATATATATATATATATATATATATATAGGTTATATACACCCACCCATACTTATATGTTTTTACTGTTTTACACACAGATGTAACATACATCAACTAGCCTGATGTGAGTAGGAATGCTCCTACATGGACTTAGGGTTTGTTCAGGCTCCAGATTAGGAGCCTAAACAAACCCTAGGTCAGGGTTAGGGCTAAGTTTAAATATGTTTATATTTGTGTAAATAATGGTTTTAGTAAAAAGATAAAAAAAAAATATGAAGTATAATACTTAGTAATTAAATTAAAATAACAAAATAATTATAAACCATATAACTTTAAAACAAAATATTAAATTTAAATATAAATAAAAATATTTTTAAAAATTAAGATATGCGAAAAAATGAGTAAAAACACACACAGTAAGTGTGTACGTACACATATATACATATTTACACACGTTCATAAATGTGTAATAATTTAATTTAGTTGAAGTATATACAATCATTATGTACAAAACTTTAAAAAAATAATAAAAATTCGCGCCAAAATTTAAAGTGGTCGAGCCATAAAGTACGTGCGATTTTATTTCGACCTTACGCCGTCCCTCCCCCTCATTTTCCTATACGCTTTTTTGAGTACACTCCATTTCCCTAAAAGTACCCACGCTTTTAACCTATCTATCAAACGCTTTATAAAATTTTTTTTATTTAGTGTCTCCTTACTTTCATAATTGACTTACTGCCCTCCCATACGCTATTTGCAGACCCTCCTCTTCTCTTCAGAGCGTACGTACTATGTATAATATATATTATTACATATAATATTATTATATGTAATTACATATAACCTCCCTGCTATAATTGTCATCCGGTTTTTAAAGTAACCATAAGATAACGTAATTATTACACACAAAATATTATTTTTAATTAAATACGCACGCAGTCAAAGCCGGATCCATAGGGAAGGGGATGGAGGCAATTGCTACCCCCTTGGTTTGAAAAAAAAAAATTTGTAATTAATACTTGGCATTTGCATCTCTTGATAAAAAAAAAAGCATGCAATGTTAATTAAACTATTAAAGTATCTTGAAGGAACACTTGCGCGTGGTTTTCTTTGAGAACGGACGTAAATATATCTTTATTGTAAACTTAAAAACTTATAAACTGGTACAAGAAATATTTGTGGATCTATACATTTATATATCTATACTTAAAAAATATCATTAAATTAAAAATGGCAAGCAAAAAAGACATTAAAAGTATGTTTGAAGAAAAGTTCAAAGTACTAGAAAATATTTATTACAGTCACTGATAAAAACAAAATTTTTCAGTGTAAACAGGTTTTTAAAATCACTAACCAAGTAAATTGCGATTTATCGAAAATGAGCTTTTAATTTTTTTCTCACCAAAGTATATAACTTATTAAATCCTATTGAATTTATTATAAAACAGCTGTTAGAAAATGCGCATTTGACTACAAGCCACATTAAATTTAAATGGTTTTATGCGTGTTTTGTAAAAAATATTAGTTTTGATTTATAAACTGAAATTTTTTATAAAAAATACTAATATTGTAACATAAAAAAAGTTCCCACCCACTCTTTTATTAACTCTCCCCTTCCCCCCCCCCCCCCACATCCGTTTATTAAATCTGGACTAAACCCCACCTCTTTTTAGTTCACCCCTCCCTCCCTTGTATTAAGGACTCGAGAGTAAGTGTTTTAAAAAAGGTTTTTTTATATAAAATTTTAGTTTGAATATTTCGTGTTATTTTAATCTAAAGCTAAAATTTTCTCTTTTCTACGCTGCGGCAAAGTTCTATTTTTTTTTTATCACATATGTTTTAATTTAATATTCTTTTTTGAAAAAGGACTTTTTTGAAAAATTTAGAAAAGAGTCTATAGTCAAACCCAGGTTTGACTATGGACATTTGGATTTTTAGACTAAATTAAATTATGAACTCCTAATTTATACACGAAGTTTATATATTTACAAAATAAAGCAGGTGTTTTATTTTGTATATATATAAATTATATATACCCCTTAACTGGTCGAAGTTCCCAATTATGTTTATTTGTACTTTTCGCTAGTAAATAATTACTAACTAATTTTGATTCGCTAGACAATAATTACTAACTAATTTTGATTCGCTAGAAAATAATTACTAACTAATTTTGATTCGCTAGAAAATAATTATTTACTAATTTTGCTTGAAATTTATGAGAAGCAGAAGGAATTTTCAACCAATTGGTTGAAGGCAATCTGGAAAAATGTTGTAATACTCTTAAGTTGTAAAAACAAAAGAAAACTCTTGGTCCTAACTTATATATTGATAAATAAGAAAAAGAACCAATCAAAATCAGTATTGTCAAAATCATAAAAAAATTGTATAACTTTTTTCAGAGTGATGATAATTTAAACAGTTGATATAATAAAGGAGTTATAGTCACTTGTACTAAACTGACACTAAACAGAGATATTACCTTACAGGAAAATGATGTTTAAAAAAAGCAGCGCAAGAATATTTTTATTTAGCTACACCCCCGCTAATTTGTATTGGTTCCTTACGATGCAGGGTTAAATAAAGCTTTTATTAATCACAATGATAGAATAAGTAAAGCTTTGAAGCATTTATACTTACCTTTCAAATGACAAAAAAATGTTTTTAATGATGTGTTGCTATTTGGGTATCATTTAACATTTAATAAAAAAAGAATTTCATAATAAAAGATGAATAAAAAATTTTAATTTGTATATATCAAAGAGGTATAATAATCTAGCTAGTGGGAAAACAAAGCCAAAAATGGTTAATTTGTGTTACAGTGCAATGATATATGAATATATTAATAAAATATTCCGCAATATTTTAAACTCCAATGTTGGTCATTATGGGGGAAATGGGAGCAAGTTTACAAAGTAACAAATTTCGGTTGTTTTTTGGATTGAATTATTTTAATATCCAAAAGTTATAAATCGTGGTTAATTCTTGCGCTGCATTCGGTAACTTGATTCAAACTATGAAAAACAACAAAAACTCTTTATGTTCATTTATATTAAATAATATTGAACTTTGTTAAAAGTGGATCGTTGCCATAAAACCTGAAGCATAATCCTAATTAGTTATACAAACAATTATAAAGGTGAGAGCATTGTTAAAACTTATGTCAGTAGTGATGATTTCCAAAAACCTAAAATGCATGAGGAACAAAACATTGAAATTGGTTTATGTAACTCCACAACTTTTACAGCGTGACAACCTTCTTTTTTTTTTGTCTTAAGCCTTTAATGTTTTAATATTAAAAAAGATATAAAAAGAACTGCTTTTGCTTATTTAGTTAGCTCATAATAGGTGTTACAAAAAATAAGAAAAAAATTTTGGGTGAATATATTAGCCTCTCATTCATGCAAGAAAATATAAAACGTCACAGCGTGACCAAAATTTTCTCATTGTTTTTTACTTTTTAGATCAACACCGCGATTCAGCTAATATAGATGAATTAAATATTTAACTTGGCATTAAAAAAAAAGTTTAGACATTACTCTTACTAGTTTTTTAGTTAAATAACATTTTTTTAATTAAATTTCAAACAGGGGCGCATCTGTAATTAACTAGTGACGTCACAGTGTGACGTTCTTAGTAATCTTAAGAACATGCACTATATCACGTGTCAAATCGCGTCCATGTTATATCAGTGTCAAATCGTATCCATATTATATTGATGTCATATATACAAAGTTTTGAAGTTTTTTGGTGATTTTTTCTGAAGTTGTTTCACTAAATACTTGGCACTTGAATAGAGTCTTTTCTATTTTCCTTTTTTTCTGGATTTTTCTGTGTCTGGATTACTTTGAATTTAGATCTTATGTCTAAATACAGAAACAATCAAAGACACGATATGCCTTTGACTTTTTTATGTTTAATAAAATAATGCAAAAAAAAATGAAGGTAAAGATTTCGAAAAGGTGCTGTAAAGATCATCAACTCTTCCCTTTTTTTCAAATATATTCTTTTCCACTACCTTCTGCAACTTTTTCCATTGGTAACCTGTGATGCATTTATTCTTGTCAATTTCAATCAAAATATATAGATTATGAAACTTTGCAGCATCTTTGCATGTTGTGCACATATTGTTATAACAAATGTCTTTTTCACTATCACAATGGAAAATTTGAATCAAACTTGTGCTGGGCTTCAAGGATAAGGAGTTGACAACGATAAACGTTTCTTGAACTAGACAAAAGCACATGTCGTGGGCTTAAGCTAGCTAACTTTGATTTTCCAACTGATTCTTCACGATAATCACCTTTAAAAACATAACATAAACTTCATTAACTTTCATATACAAATGAAGTTATTGCACAGTTTCTTTCTTGTTCGTTAAAATCACCACAATGTTGTCTCT